TCATTGTCCAAAAGCTGATTACTGCATTATATTCCATTATATTTTTGTATTTTGAAATGTCACCTGCCACCTTTAATCTTAAGTAATAGGCTACAATAACAGCTCTAGAACTGACCTTAGCCACTGAAATACCCAAGGTGCCACACACAGACTTGCAGAGAGGTTGGAGGAGTTGTTGGGAGGAGCATACCTAACATCAAAGCTCTTCGTGTATACAATTCCTACCTTTCCAGGAAAAACTTCATCTTTCAAATCCAACAGGCTGGACTGTCAACTTTTTCACCACGCCTAAAACCGGCTAATTCCTGTTTTCATTCGTCCTCTATGTCCTGTATATTCCACGTTTCCGGGGACTAGACCAGACCAAGGTACGTTTTAACGTTTGTTTTTTTGTTTTAATTAACAAAGGCAGAAATCAGAAACGGGTCGTTTTTCCGTTTTTTCAGTTTTGGGCCCGAAACGAAAAAAAACAACATTCACTTTGTTTTTTTGTTTTTTTTTAATCAAAACAAAAATACGAATTTATTACTCAATATTTCCTTTCATTGGTGGGTGGGACTTCATCAACGACTTGCTTCTGATTGGATAGTGTGCTCCATCACTTATCTTTGTACTCAAAATCAAGGTTCTCCCAACGAATTTCCATTCCTGCTGTGGCTCTCCCTCTTTGCTTTAAGACAATGCAATGTGATGAATTAAACAAAGGTATTTCTGTTATTTAGCATTACAGAAGGCTTATTTTAGTAAGTGCTGTGAACAGTAAAGTGTTGTCAACATTACAAAGATCGATGGCATCGAACAACAGCAAGCACACGAAAAGGATTTACAGAAAATGAGCAGCAGGTGTCGCCCTGCACCTCCCTCAGCTGTGATCACCTGGAGCCACTTCAGAAAACAGAACTCCACTGAGTTCATCCTGCTGTGTTTAAAGACTCATCACACCTGATATGGTCTTGTTAGTTTTATGTCTACTCAAGACTGCCGACATTTGAACAAATTTCTGAGTAAAAAAAGGGGTTTTGCACCTTTGTAGCCACAGAATATTATATTATTATAATTGTGTCTGAAGCTTCTATCCATCCATACCGTATGTGATGTGATTTTCAAAACTAGCCTTGATGGCAGATGCAAGCCAATAAGACTTAAGAGTCATATCATATTTTATTATTAATTACTATTGCCCAGGTTTAATCAAATTTGCAAATAAAACAGCTGCTTTGTGGAAACATGACGCCAATGTGTCCCTGAGCGCGCGACCTCTGACATGAACAGCAGCTGTAAGTCGCTTTGGATAAAAGCATCAGCTAAATGAATAAATGTAAACGCAATGAACAAAAAGCCAAAAAAAGAGAACGTGATAAAATATGATCTACTCCACTGTGTCAAAACAGCAAGCAGCTTCTGTTAGTTTTAATAAAACACCAGGTAGTTGCGCATTAGACTGAATCCCCTCTGTGAGCGTGCATATTATCATGATGGAGAACCCAAATGCCAGTGCGTCAGAGATGAAAAATGGCGAAGGGGCAAAAACACCTTCACGGCGTGAAGCGCAGTTGCGTTTGGGGCGTTTCCAACTCCAATTTTGCTAGTTTGACGGCGTAAATAATTGTGTTGGCGCGTGGTTCAAAAGAGTCGTACTTAGTCTGTGAATAAGTCATGGGTGTGTAGGGCATAACATGCAATACACCAATCAGTGTCATCTCCCTTTCAAAGCCATGTGCGCGTGCTATTATAATAGCGTATGAATGGCGCATTATGAAAAAAAAAACAATTGGCTGATTGAATTGCAGACTCACAGCAGAGAGAAGATGTGGAAACAGCCTAAGTGTGGACGTGATATAAAAACCACCTCTGATGATGAAGCCTCTGCCGCTCTGCAGTTTATCAGTGAAGTGTCGGGAACTCCAGTCTGGTAACAGACAGACGCTGTCTCCTCTATGAACCGTCTGGATTCTCACTGCGCTGCGTTTATATAAACTATGAACCGGTTGTGGGTCACATCTCCCAAACTGGTTTCTTTATGTTGTGTTCTATTGACGTATGAGTGTTTTCTTTAACGATTTACTTTCATGATCAGAGAGGCTGCTGTCGGTCATTTTAAACGTCATGTGCGCAAGTCACAAGAAATATAGTGGGATATTTGAGAAGCAAAAAATAAAAAGGCTGAAGTCATTAACTTGACATGACAGGGCAGAGGAAACTGCAGAGGAACTAGAATTCAACTTTTAGCTTCTGAAATAATTTAGATGCTCTGATGGCGCTCAGGACTGATCGGGAGGACGGCTGCTTTACTCCAAACTGTTTCTCTGAATGAACCTGGACTGTGTGTCAGAGATTGTTGTTTAAATAGCAGTTTGTGGCCCATGGGAGTGTTAAAATAAGATGTGGTCACTCAGGAAAATTGTTGGCGCATTCCTATTTTGAAGCAACAGAAAGCGACTGTACCATTGACCAAACGGCAAGTCAACGGCACAGTATTATTTGTTTGTTTTTTACTCCACTTTACGCACGAGGCACGATTTATGCACGAAGCACAGCAACAACTTAATATTAAAATCTCCCGAGAAGTGACAGGATCGGTCAGGATCTAATGTTAACTGATGTTCTCTGTTCTTCTCGCACACAGTCCAGTGAAACTGGAGTAAAGCAGCGTCCCAGATCCTGAGCCCCTCAGAGCGTCTCAATTATTTCAGAAGCTAAAAGTTGAATGCTCTGCCTTCTGGAGAGTTTCCTCTGTCCTGTTATGTCAAGTTTATAATATATATATATATTTTTTTGCTTCTTGAATGCCAGACGATATTTGTAGCGACTTCTTTGCGCACATGGAAACGTTTTAAATGACTGACAGCAGCCTCTCTGATCATGAAAGTAAATCATTAAAGTAAACACTCCTTCCGCAATAAAACACAAAATAATTAAACCACTGCAGGAGAGAGATGTGACCCCATAGTTTCTAATAACGCAGCGCAATGAGGATCCAGACGTTTCATAGATGAGACAGCGTCTGTCTGTCTGTTAACAGACTCCAGTCTGCTTCACTGATGAACACAGAGCTGCGGAGGAACATCTGGCTTCATGAGACAGTTTGTATATCGCTGTGAATCTTGCATATTGCGCCCAAAACACGCCACGCACTTAGATCGTTCAAACTGGGCCCTGTGACTTCTTCCTCGCAGCGGAGGAGATATTTAATCCCATCACATTTTACAGTTGATGTTGGAACAGCTTCAATAACAGGAGCCTGGCAACTTGTTGATCGCACCTGGTTCCAAATCAAGGCGCAGATCATTTATCATCAGCTCAGACTGACACATCTCAGTAAACGGGTGTTACGACCCGTGAGGTCTGTGGGCTGTGTTCGCGTTGCTGTGGGTGTCTCTCTCTCTCTCTTGCAGGTGTGTACCTGCACCCGCTGAGTGTGACGTGGGGTGGAGCTCACAGCTGGGGCCGATTAGTGGCTGGGGCTCGACGTGACGTCTCACTTCTGACTCATCCACTCACCCTTCCTTGGGCTCGCATTAGTCTGTGTGACTTACTGTGTGATCTACTTCGTGACTTGCAGGACGTGACCGGCGGGGTGCCGCTGGCCACTTCCCCTCGCGCCGTGAGGTCGGTGACTCCGTGGAGGCGGCATTCAGGATCAGTGGAAGCCGGTGTGGTGAGCGACGGGCGATTTAGTCTTATTGGGTTGCATCTACCGGTACTGATGGGTAGAGGCTACTTGCTACAAAGGTGCAAAGCCCCATTTTCAGTCTTTAAACACAGCAGGATGAACTCAGTGGAGTTCTGTTTTCTGAAGTGGCTCCAGGTGATCACAGCTGAGGGAGCTGCAGGGCGACACCTGCTGCTCATTTTCTGTAAATCCTTTTCGTGTGCTTGCTGTTGTTCGATGCCATCGATCTTTGTAATATTGACAACACTTTACTGTTCACAGCACTTACTAAAATAAGCCTTAATCTGTAATGCTAAATAACAGAAATACCTTTGTTTAATTCATCACAAACATGCTCCAAACTGATCATACAGTTGAATCGCTACCTCTCATAAACTGTTAATCTCTTAATCATGAAGGCGGATTTATTGCATTATTTAATTAGTTTTCACTAATAAACTGTCATCTCAGCGTATATTTTTAGTCGAACCCACGAATGAAAGGAAATATTGAGTAATAAATTCGTATTTTGTTTTGATAAAAAAAAAAAAACGAAAAATCAGACTGAATGTTGTTTTTTTTCGTTTCGACCCAAAATTGAAAAAACGGAAAAACGACCCGTTTCTGGTTTCTGCCTTTGTTAATTATAGCAAAAAAACCCAAACGGTTCAAACGTCTTCCGGGTTTTCCCCATATCCAGCTGCCAAAGACTCATTTCCTGGTTTTTGCAACGTCTATCTCTGAAGCAAATTACTTAGGAACACAGAAAAGGTATGTAACAAACATGTAACTGACAGCGAGTCGGTGTTAATATAGGCTAACCTGCTTAGTCTAGCTGAAACGTCCTTTGTTAAGTTTACAACAATCTGTAGCCTTTCTTAGTCGGCAATTCAGAATAGACGGACCATTTGCGTTAGGTTTCTTATTGTTTGTTTTAATAAAAGGCACAAATGGACTAAAATTGATCTGAAAACTTCTGCAAATAATGTTGGCCTAATTTCTTTAGGAATTATGGCTTTCTAAAGCATCACTGTGACGTTTTGTGGTGATTTTTTGTGTGTTCCTGTTAATGCTGGATGCTTTTTGGGCACCAAATTCATCAACATCGAATGACACGTCAAATGAATGATACAACTAGCTTTCTTGAAGAAGTAATTGTCAAGGTTAGTTAACTAACTAAACTAGCTCCACTATATCTATGCTACTGCAATACCATGGTGGAGTAGTAGAACCACATAATCACATTCATGTGATTCACATTCATGTGATTATGTGGTTCTACTACTCCACCATGGTATTGCAGTAGTCCCAAAGTTTGCTTCACAGTTTCACTGGTTTTGAGATTTCAGTTCTTTTTTTTTTTCATGGAAAGAAACTCCAAATCTCTCAAATTTCTCTCTTTGCGAAACTGTTTTAATGCCTTTAGATGACTGTAATTCCTTGCTCTCTGGCATCAGCAAGAAAACCATCTCCTGCTCATCCAAAATTCTGCTGCCAGGATTTTGAGTCGATCTAAGAAACATGATAACACAACACTGATCCTAGCTTCCTTACAATGGCTATCTGTTGCTCTTAGAATAGATTTTTGAATACTTACAAAGTTCTGAGAGGCCATAGCCCCAAGTTATTTTTCAGATCTTTAAGTGCCCTATAGCCATGTTTCCCTTCCTGCTCCCTGACCTCCTCGGATAAATTGTATTTGGTTATTACAAGGTTCATAATAATAATACATTTTATTTATTATTTTCAGGACACTCAAAGACTTTGCAATAAAACCAGTAGTTATGTGCATTTAAAAATAGATAAAATACATAAATAGAAAATACATGAACATTAGGTAAGAAACATAAAATACAAAAAACATACAAGTATAGGGGAGACCATATAAATATAAAAAAAACACTTAGCAGCAGGTGAAGTGTAACATTATTTGAGGTTAAAAGCTAGTCTAAAGAGGGGGGTCCAGGTCACTACATTCTCGGATTTGATTGGGTAAGGAGTTCCGGAGTGAGGGGGCTGCAATGGTGAATGCTCTGTCACCCCAGGTACAGTCAGAGATAATTTAGAGTGGTGGGGAGAGGAGCTTAGTGTCGGAGAAGCGGAGGTCACGGGGGGATTGTGGTGGTGGAGCAGGTCTGTGAGGTAGGAAGGGGCCTGGTTATAGAGGGCACCATAGAGGATGCTATTGCAGTAGTCAATTCTGGATGTAATGAAGGTGTGGATCATAGTTTCGGCAGCTGAGAAGGTGCGTGATGGGTGGAGACGGGCAATGTTTTTGAGGTGGAAGAAGGTGTGGTGTTCAAAAGTGAGGTTGCTGTCAAAGATGACACCAAAGTTGCGGATGTGTGGGGATGGAGACAAGGTGGAGTTGTTGATGGAGAGGCTGAAGTTGTTGGTGGTTTGGGGCTGATGATGATCACGTCAGATTTATTGTAATTGAGGTGTAGGAGGTTGGTTTGCATTCAGGTTTGTATGTCGGTGAGGCAGTTGGTCAGGGTTGCAGAGGTAACTGTCGTGATGGATTTGCTGGAAATGTAGATCTGGATGTTGTCGGGCGTAGCAGTGGAAGTGGAGACCATATCTACGTATGATATTTCTGAGTGGTAGGATGTAGATGATGAACAGGAGATGACAAAGCATCCAACCTTGGGGGATGCCTTCTGACAAAGGAGCGGTGGAGGAGGAGCACTTATTAATGTTGATGAACTGTTGTTTGTTAGTGAGGTAAGATCGGAGCCAGGAGAGTCTGGTGCCAGTGGTGTTGGCGTTTTGAAGTGGTTGTTAGAGGTGAGGTGGGTTTGAATTTGATCAGCGACAACATGTGCTGGATTTTTTGATAGGAAGGGGAGATTGGTGATGGGTCGGAAGTAGGACATGATGTCGGGGTTGAGAGCAGGTTTCTTGTGGAGAATGATGAAGTTGACTGAGCCTTTGCAGTCAGGGCTCCTAGATTTTGGAATGACCTCTCTGAGGGGATCAGGGCTGCACGTTTTGTCTTGCTTTTGAAGTCACATCAAAAACCCCACTTAAACAAACATTGATATTCTGCTCCTGCTCTACATCTAAGCCACAGCCACTCTGATAATTACTATGCTCACTGCCCACCAACTGGACCTACTACAGGTGGATTTTACTGACAGGATTGATCACAGTTGTATTTAAAACCTTGTTATGTGTCTGTCCAGCTAACACAACATGTTGTTTGTGTTTGTGTGAAGGTTTACATTTTACAATGAGTCAGCCTCAGGAAGAAGATGAAGGAGTTCCGCCCTCCAACACCACTTTGTCTGAGGAACATGAGAGCCAGACCAAACGACAGAGGTAGGATGAAGATCTCTCTAAAATCAGTCCGCTGTCATGAATCAGAAAAGTCAGAGTACTCGGTTGAGAGTATGGAATGAATGTTACTTTTTTCCCATCTTGATGATTCTTGGATTCAAAGCGTTTAGCTTCTAGTTAAAAACATGAATACGTTCCAAGGTCTGACTGACCTTCATCCACTTTGGTTTGTTATGTGTTAACTTGTAACACTTTCCATTTTCTTCAGTCATTGAGCTCCACATACTTCCCACCTGTCTTTTTTCATTGCTGCACTTCTTTCAGGGCTGAGCAGGAAAGAGCAGATTCTCCTTTACCAAGCTGTGTGTCCATGAAGAGTGACAAATCCATGGATTTCCCTATGGCTTTTAAACAGCAAGATTCATTTTCTAAGTAAGTCAACAGAACTTTTTAAGCATAAATTCTCTATGAAGCATTATAATTTATATCATAACACTACTTATTACTGCACTGTTTATTTATCTGTTTGCCCAGACTTAATAATCACAGGTCTACCTCGTCCATCTGTTGTACTGATGTGTAAAAATGTTCTTCAGTGTGATTCATCTGGTAACTGTTTTTTAGATAACATTTCTGTCTTCTTGTTCATCATCTTCCTCAAATGTACCAGATAGATCTCAGACACTATAAGGCCAAGCTCTCTCTACATCTTTTATTATTTTTTATTTTTATTTCTGCCAGTCTTTATCATTAGTGTCCTAACAGCATCACAAAGTACAGTTTTGTCAGCCTTAACAGCTTAAAATGCCAAAAATAGATTGATTGATGCTGGATGAGTAATGACCTGTCTTATCTAGACTGCACTAGCTGGGCTCTAACAAGATGTTACTTCTCTTCATTGGCTGTATCACCTTCAGGATCATTTTCAAGGCATTACATGGGAAGGCCCCTTATTACGTAGGGGGTTTTCACACCTGAAAGTCCGCACCAAGGTCCAAACCAAAGTTCATGTTTTGATACATTTGGTTAGTTTAGTTTTGGTTTCACACTGTAATTCGGCAACCGCACTGAAGGACTTCACATGACAGACCTGCGTCCTGTCGTCATCATCTACGTTGGCTGCGTCTCCCTGTACTTGACATTGATTGGTTTATTAAACCTTTCAGCAGGGAGCTTTGACAAGAATAACTGAATAAAAAATGTACATATGCATATTTGCCACTACATTGTTGTTATTATTATGGTTTTAAGCTACTGCCTGCAGCACCAACTGTACTGAAGGCTAGTTCAAATTCGCAATTAAACGTCCTCGTTGAGAAATGGGTGGCAGTGTGATACTATAGGCCTAGTGGCCGTCTGTATCAAAAGATGAGCTGTCACGGGAGATTTATAATTGTGTCCTTATTTCAATGCATTTATTTGTTTCCGGTTTAAACGGCAAGTCCGAACCCTCCAAAAAATGCTTTCACACCAGAAACAAACGGAACCATGGTTCAGGTTGATCCGGACCAAGATTACCTCTTTTGGTCGGACCAAATTCCATCTGTTTGGTAGATGAGGTAGGTGTGAAAGCCCCCTTAGAATAGTTGGTGAGAGGAGCTTCAGGTCCTCAGACCAGGGATGTTTGGATGTTCAGAGGTCAAGGCTGAATACTTAAGATCATCATGTTTTTTTGTCTTTGCTCCTTGAGTTGAGAACTGTCTACCTTACAGTCTCTGAGAGGTTGAATTAGTGCACTCTTGTGAAATACATCTTGAGGCGCATGTGATTTCATTGGCATTTTTTTAACAGAGTGGTTTGAAGTGGTTTCTAAGGTCTGACTGACCTTCGTCAAATTCAGTATGCTGTATGTGGTAACTTGTAACACACGCCATCTTTCTTCACACTCATAGATTTCCATATACTCTCTCCTGTCATGTGTCATTGTTCCACTTCTTTCAGGGCTGAGCAGGAAAGAGCAGATTCTCCTTTACCAAGCTGTGTGTCCATGAAGAGTGACAAATCCATGGATTTCCCCATGGCTTTTAAACAGCAAGATTCATTTTCTAAGTAAGTCAACAGAACTTTTTAAGCATAAATTCTCTATGAAGCATTATAATTTATATCATAACACTACTTATTACTGCACTGTTTATTTATCTGTCTGCCCAGACTTAATAATCACAGGTCTACCTCGTCCATCTGTTGTACTGATATGTAAAAATCTCTCAAGTGTGATGCACCTGGTAACTCAGTTTTATTTAGATAATGTTTCTTTATTCTTGTTCATCATCTTCCACAAATGTACCAGATAGATCTCAGACACTTTAAGGCCAGGCTCTCTCTACACCTCTTTCCATTATTTTTTATTTATAATGTCTGCCAATTAATAATGTCCTAACACAGAATCACAACATACACCATACACAAACACCCTTAAAGCCAAATGTCAGCATTTGAATCTCATGTTCATTGTCAACATGCTGGAACCAAAAAACAAACAAACAGTATTTCTGTCCTAATACTTTTCACTACAGTGTAAATATGAACTGGCTGTAAGACTTTAAAGACCTTTTGTCCCAAATTTGGTTTGCTAAGTCTTGTAACTTCTCTTCCATCACCAACTTCAATGACATCATTGAACTCCACACATTCGGAGTTACCAATACAGCCACAGTTTTTTTGTACTGTTGTCCTTTTATAAACCTCAGTTAATCGCTCAGATATGAGACTTAGTCTGCACATTTAACTCTTCAATGTCCTTCCAATATGTACATACCATCCCATTTCTTGTCAAACCATTGGCTTCTTATATGATGTGTATGTATTGTTGAGCGTTAAGTTAGACATAAAATTACTTACCACTAATGCGTTATGTTTTCTCCACAGAGTTCCCCAGGAGATATCAGAAGTTTCCACTAGCAGTCAAACAAACGTGGACTCCATATTTATGGTGTGTAACTGTACAAGCCAACCTTTAACTAGTAACTAGGAATCAGCCACAAAGAAAAGAAATACCTTTTAAAAACATTGCACAACTTGATCACACAGAAATATGTGAAATGACCGGAACCTCTTAACAACACATTAAAACTGCGGTTCTGTTAGGCTTAACATGTGTCCATTGCACAGGGCCTTTTGTAGCTCTAGGCCTGTAATAGTCATTGACGTTGACAGCATTTTGAGAGAGATTCTTTAGAATGGTCTCGAGGGTATTGACTGAATGAGAAATAGCTTTCAGTAAGGCAGAAAACTAGGAAATGTTTTCAACATGTTGGAGTATTAAATGCAGGGTTATGATCTTTGACAGATGGAGCTGATGGTTGTTGTGCAAGTTTATAATGAGAGTTAAGTTTATAAAATCTGAAAGTAATTGAATATTGTTTTATTTCAGGGTCTTGAGGAGAGCATTGTTAATTATGTGAAAAACGAGCTTAAGAAGTTCCAGAAGGTTCTGAGTCGAGATTGCTCAGGATGCTCAGAGAGCCAAGGTGAGGACGAGGAGGTGGTTGATGGTGAAGAGGAAGAGCAGAGGAGTAGCAGCAGCAGAGAGGCATTTCTGAAGATCACACTGCAGTTCATGAGGAGAATGAAGCAGGAGGAGCTGGCTGACTCTCTGCAGAACAGTAAGAAGCTTTCAATAGATGCTGCAGAGAAAGTTATATTTAAAATTGTAGATTTACAGTTCTAAAGTCTGCTGTAAATATGCTGTGAAACATCTGCATCAGATCTATAAAGTCATCTTGGCTTCGCACATTATCATTTAAATGGAGGGTTGGAGGGGTTACATTAAGAGCCCATGTTTGCGCAAGTAAAGATTCCACAGATTTTATCATAGACAATGTGATGAGCATTACCACCAACCTTCTGAATAATGGATAGCCCGCTCTACCTTCTGAGCCACTGCCCCCCTTTTGTCTTTGTGTAAATATGCTAACCCTGCCAGTGATATAAAACCACACCTGACTGTTACTTATGTGGCCCAGCCAGGAATGATCCGGCCAAACACATAATAACATTTTGTGGGTTTTTATTCTCTGACTGGACTCAAATGAGAACAGCATCAATAATGTGATTTTGAGGATATAAGGCAGCTGGAGGTTATACAAAACATAAGAATTACTTGAATTACTCAGCTGATCTCAACTATTTGATTTAACAGTACACTATATTACCCCTTAACCATATCACAGTATGTAAACAGCTGCCATAAAATTGTTTACACTCACTTTGTTAAACTTCAGTAAGTAAGTAACAGGAACTCTAGACCTTAAACACTTGAATCTACAATCCAGACATTAAACTCTTGACTCTGCAATCTAGAATCTAGACAACAGTATTGGCCTTTTCTAAATAAAAAAAGTATACATATATAAATAAATACATTTATTTAACCACACAATGTACAATGTCATAAACTCAAAGTAAAATATTTAAATTCACCAGAAAACATAAAATACATCCATACACAAAATATAGTTTGGCCAACACTTTGTGCAGGAACTCAGAATTAATATTATATATAAACAAATCAGTAACTTACTGTCTTCTAATGTGCAGTGTGATACATACGTGGATCTCCCCTCAGTATTTCCCACAGACAGTATATTACTGGACGAAGCCACCCCGCAGATTTGAATGAAGTGTAGTTGATAAATGAACCTCAGATTTGATGGAATATAATGAATAACTACAAGTTGTGTGACCATTAAAGCAGCTTTTTTGTGTAGGAGCTATAATGAAGTGACACACGATAAAGTTTGTTACAAATTTATTAGTAAAAAAAACTGGATGAAGCCATAAAGTTCTTACAATAACTCCACAGAGAAAGCAACACAAAAATAAAATTGCAACAGTTTGGAAGGTTATTAAAACATTTCCAGCCAACAAGCAGCAGACCAGCTGCAGCATCACGTCTGTGTCTTCCTGCGTCGGAGGAACGGGATGTTTAATTACCTGCTGTAATCGGCTGTTCTGCTTGTTTCAGAGAGGAGACTGACTTAGCATATAATAGCACATTTCAACAACAAGGTAATTCAAAGTGCTTTACATAAAATAAAATAAAAATACACACATTAAATGGGTAAAACAGGCCAGTAAAAGTTACAGTGCATTGTAGAAACTTCCTGACTGATGAAAACTTAAAACAACAATTTTTGGACCCAGGATTTAGCGTTACTCCATCAGCTGTTCGCTGTAAACACACCGCTGCAGCTGGCTGTTGTTTCCGAGCATCGGCGAGACTTGTGTGGATAACAAACTGGATAAAACTATCAAGTTCTTAAAATAACTCCAGCACAGAGAAAGCAACACAAAAATAAAATCGCGATCACAGATCACAGGAAGGTTATTAAAACATTTGCGACAAGAGCTGCAGATCAGCTGCAGCATGCGTCGCCTGAGCGTTGGAGGAACGGGATGTTTAACGAGCTTTATTACCTGCTGTATTCAGCTTTTCCGCTTGTTTTGGAGAGGAGACCGACTTCAGCTCTGTGGAAAAACTTAAAACAACAACTCTGGACCCAGTATTTAGCATAACTCCATCAGCTGTTCGCTGTAAACACACAGCGTACGCTGGCTGCTATTTTCAATACATTTAATGCCGATGTACATCTCAGGCGGACATCGGCCAGATATGTGTGGCTATTTGACTGTTGATTGTGATTTATTGGTTTGCAAACAACAGTGGGAAAGAGAGGAGCAGTAGCAGACAAACACCCGACATTCTCCAGTTAAAGCCAGTAACCTCTACTCGCGCATTCAGAAATTCACTTCAAGGCAAGCCCCACCCCCCCAAAGTACCGGTACTTTCGGAAAGTACTACCCCCCGAGCGGGGACTTTTTAGGGGGTTAAATGAAGACCCAAGAACTACATTTAGACCCTGGTCCCTCCAGTGGAAAAACAGTGAGTTCCTCCAAAGGTTCCTAGTTCTGGGGTTTAGTTCCTTTGGTCGAAACGTAGCTATTGTTTATTTAAGCTGCGTTTTCGACCAAAGACCACGGTGGAAATGCACACAACAGTGGGCTGAAGGAACCTTTTAGTACCTTGAAAAGAGATCTGGGGACTTAAAAGTCCCCGGTACATTTGGTCAAAAAGGGGTTTTACACAGTCAGTATACACCAGTATAATGTGATTTTGCTTGTATACATTTTGTCGAAGAAAGGGGAATGCTATTACTGCAGTAATCCCACCAGCAACTACAAAACATTATGCCCCACATAATACTATAGAACTCTGTACCCCTGGCTACACTTAAAAGCCAGCAGAGCATTATCATAGAAGGAGATATGTGTTTACTTGTTTTTGCCAACTGAGAGTCAATTTATTTCCCACCTCCTGATCTAACAATGCAGGTCAGCGAGGTGTGAGCGGAGGCCGACAGTCCTCTACAGTGCTTAATCTCATGACAGCTCTATATTGCATCATCATTGTATCAGAATCTTAAAATAGACCTGTACGATGTAATGTAATCCAATACAATATTTGTCATTTTTCCTTGTAGGAATTCTTGCTCCAGTGTGCTGCTGCAAACTCAAATCAAACCTGAAGAAGAAGTTTCAGTGTGTGTTTGAGGGGACTGCTAAAACAGGAAAACCAACCCTTCTGAATCAGATCTACACAGAGCTCTACATCACAGAGGGAGAGACTGCAGAGGTCAATGAAGAACATGAGGTCAGACAGATTGAAACAGCATCCAGGAAACCAGACAGACCAGAAACAGCAATCACATGTGAAGACATCTTTAAGGCCTCACCTGGAGATAAACCACTCAGAACAGTGATGACAAAGGGAGTGGCTGGCATCGGTAAAACAGTCTTAACACAGAAGTTCACTCTGGACTGGGCTGAAGACAAAGCCCACCAGGACATACAGTTCACATTCCCATTCACTTTCAGAGAGCTCAATGTGCTGAAAGAGAAGAAGTTCAGTTTGGTGGAACTTGTTCAACACTTTTTTGCTGACACCAAAGAATCAGGAATCTGCAGGTTTGAAGAGTTTCGGGTTTTATTCATCTTTGACGGTCTGGATGAGTGTCGACTTCCTCTGGACTTCCACAACAACGGCATCCTGACTGATGTTAAAGAGTCCACCTCAGTGGATGTGCTGCTGACAAACCTCATCAGGGGGAACCTGCTTCCCTCTGCTCGCATCTGGATAACCACACGACCTGCAGCAGCCAATCAGATCCCTCTTGAGTGTGTTGACATGGTGACAGAGGTCAGAGGGTTCACTGACCCACAGAAGGAGGAGTACTTCAGGAAGAGATACATGGATGAGGAGCAGGCCGGCAGAATCATCTCCCACATCAAGACATCACGAAGCCTCCACATCATGTGCCACATCCCAGTCTTCTGCTGGATCACTGCTACAGTTCTGGAGGACGTGTTGAAGACCAGAGACGGAGGAGATCTGCCCAAGACCCTGACTGAGATGTACATCCACTTCCTGGTGGTTCAGTCCAAAGTGAAGAACATCAAGTACGATGGAGGAGCTGAGACAGATCCACACTGGACTCCAGAGGGCAGGAAAATGATTGAGTCTCTGGGAAAACTGGCCTTTGAGCAGCTGCAGAAAGGCAACCTGATCTTCTATGAATCAGACCTGACAGAGTGTGGCATCGATATCAGAGCAGCCTCAGTGTACTCAGGAGTGTTCACACAGATCTTTAAAGAAGAGAGTGGACTGTACCAGGACAGGGTGTTCTGCTTCGTCCATCTGAGCGTTCAGGAGTTTCTGGCTGCTCTTCATGTACATCTGACCTTCAGCAACTCTGGAGTCAATCTGCTGTCAGAAGAACAATCAGCTTCCTTTTGGTCTAAATTGTTCAGAAACAAATCTGAATTCTTCTACCAGAGCGCAGTAGACAAGACCTTACAGAGTCCAAATGGACACCTGGACCTGTTCCTCCGCTTCCTCGTGGGTCTTTCACTGCAGGCCAATCAGACTCTCTTACAAGGACTGGTCACACAGACAGGAAGCAGCTCACAGACCGACCAGGGAACAGTCCAGTATATCAAGAAGAAGATCAGTGAGAATCTGTCTTCAGAGAAAAGCATCAATCTGTTCCACTGCCTGAATGAACTGAATGATCGTTCTCTAGTGGAGCAGATCCAACAACAACTAAATTCAGGAAGTCTGTCCACAGATAAACTTTCTCCTGCTCAGTGGTCAGCTCTGGTCTTCATCTTATTGTCATCTGGAAACAATCTGGACGTGTTTGACCTGAGGAAATACCCTGCTTCAGAGGAGGTTCTTCTGAGGCTGCTGCCAGTGGTCAAAGTCTCCACTAAAGCCCTGTAGGGTAAACAATAACCACATAAATTTAATCCATTAATATTGAAAAAAATCTTACTGTCTCCTTTTTGCTGCAATTTTTTTCTTCAGGCTGTGTTGCTGTAATCTATCAGAGAGAAGCTGTGAAGTTCTGTCCTCAGTTCTCAGCTCCCCGTCCTCCAGTCTGAGAGAGCTGGACCTGAGTGACAACGACCTGCAGGATTCAGGAGTGAAGCTGCTCTGCACTGGACTGGAGAGTCCACACTGTAGACTAAAGACTCTCAGGTCAGGATTCATCAGTTTGTTCAGACGATGACCATTTAAATCAGTGGTCGGCAATAGGCGGCCCGCGGGCCAGAACTGGCCAGATTGCTTTGATAGCAGAAAAAAAAAAAAACGGCTGGTGCTGAAATAGATATCAATCATCACAGCTACAGTTACTCACACAATCGCTTCCTCTTAAGAGATTGTGCCTCTAAAATAAAAGTGCGAGAACGTCTTTTGCAGCAATGCTTTATGTCGAGTTTATTGAGAGCTTTTAGTTTGAAGAGTTCCGAAGGACATTCGAAAGAGTCTCAGGCTTGCTTGACACACCTCTAAAAAGCTGTCTGTAAACGTGTGATTGGATTCCCCTGAATTTTCTCAGGGAAATGAAAATACGTGTCCATAGGTTCATGAATGCAGATCAAATGCCAGAACGCGCACTTTATTGTGAGCATGTGCAAAAGTGTCCAAAAATATCCACAGTAAGCTGGAATCGATCGATCGAGTACCACACAGTACTGACTGAGCTAAAAGTGCACATGATTTGAAATAATTTGACTTTGTTATGGGCCGCCATATAATGGCTTGAAAAGAATTTGGCCCAATGCCAAACTTATTTGCCGACCCCTGATTTAAATCCATGCTTAGGAGGAGATTGTTGTTGGGAAAAACTTAAAGATATATATCCAGTTCCATCAACATTCCTTTATCAATGAACATTTAGAAAATAGATTTTTCATGTTTGTGAATTGATTCAGAATTGTCCACGTCACAGTGCATCTACTAATACATGTATCCCCCACCCCTACTATTTACTACTGTTACAACATCATTTCCAAAAAAGTTGGCACACTGTGGAAAATGTAAATCAAAACAAAATATGATGATGTGCAAAACATTGAACGCCCATATTAAACTGAAAATAGCAAAGAGACTTATCAAATGTTGAAAGTGAGCAAGTGGTAACAAAGGAGTCTTTCTGAAGTAAAGATGGGGAGGAGTTCACCACTCTAGTTATTTCATTGTCTACACTACAGTATCTCTCAAAAGTGAGTACACCCCTCACATTTTTGTGAATATTTGATTATATCTTTTCATGTGACAACACTGAAGAAATGACACTTTGCTACAATGTAAAGTAGTGAGTGTACAGCTTGTATTACAGTGTATATTTGCTGTCCCCCTCAAAATAAGTTGAGGCTGAAGGGGTGGGGGGGTCAGCCTGTCAGTGATCAGACCATACGCCACACACTGCATCAAATTGTTCTGCATGGCTGTCATCCCAGAAGGAAGCTTCTTCCAAAGATGATGCACAAGAAAGCCCGCAAACAGTTTGCTGAAGACAAGCAGACCAAGGACTAGGATTACTGGAACCATGTCCTGTGGTCTGATGAGACCAAGATAAACTTATTTGGTTCAGATGGTGTCAAGCATGTGTGGCAACAACCAGGTGAGAAGTACAAAGACAAAGTGTGTCTTGCCTACAGTCAAGCATGGTGGTGGGAGTGTTCTGGTCTGGGGCTGCATGAGTGCTGCCGGCACTGCGGAGCTACAGTTCATTGAGGGAACCATGAATGCCAACATGTACTGTGACATACTGAAGCAGAGCAGGATCCCCTCACTTTTGTTGCCAGCGGTCTAGACATTAATGTCTGTGTGATGTGTTATTTTGAGGGGACATCAAATTTACACGGTCACCCATCCTGCCCCTTTAAGCCATGGTGTTATAAAACGATCTACTAACGTAGCTGAAGGAAGTAGTAACTCTTCAGCTAGTGAGTGAAACTGTTTAAATCAAGCTCTGGTGTTAATGAGCCATGTAATGTGTGAATTACTGCTGCAGAGGAGAAATAAAGTTGCTGAGGAACGCCATAACAACGTCTTATTCCTCTATTCTGACCGGCAGAGTGGCCCGGACCGCTAAGGCTAGTTACTAGCTACGAGCCAGGCTAAGTTAATCAATGCACGCCAGTCTGTTCTCAACTACGGTTTGGGGCAGAAAGCTGGGAAGGTAACAGCTGTGTTATACAAGCTGTACGCTCATTACTTTGCATTGTAGCAAAGTGTCACATGAAAAGATATAATCTAATATTTACAAAAATGTGAGGGGTGTACTCACTTTAGTAAGATACTGTAATATCATTAAAAGATTTAGACAATCAGAAGAAACCTCTGTAAGCAAGGGACAAGGTCGAAAACAGTACTGGATGGCCGTGACCTTTGGGCCCTCAGACTGCACTACATCATTAAAAACAGACACAAATCTGTAGTGGACATAATTGCATGGGAAAATGAACACTTCCAAAAACCATTGTCTGTAAACACATTTCATCACTGTTATTAAACAATATGTTTCTCAGGGTTGCCCTTGCTTATTTCAGCAAGGCGATGCCAAACCACGTTCTAATAATAATCCAAGGTGGGAGAGCAAGAGAGTGAACAGTGAATCTATATAAATAAATGATTCTAATGACTTGATTTTTAAAAAAATAAGTGTGTGTGTGTGTGTGTGTAGGCTGTCTGGCTGTCTGATCTCAAAGAAAGGCTGTGCTTCTCTGGCCTCTGCTCTGAAATCCAACCCCTCCCATCTGAGAGAGCTGGACCTGAGCTACAATCACCCAGGAGACTCTGGAGTGAGGCTGCTTTCTGCAGGACTGGAGGATCCAAGCTGGAAATTGGAAACTCTCAAGTATGGACAGATAAATATTTATAATAATAAATAAATATATTTTTAAAAAGCTCATTACAAAACAAAGCATTTTCCCACTTGCGTTTAGTGGTATCTAGCCATGCAGAAAGCTTTATTAGTCTTATTAACCAGCTTTTGAGATACTGCAGAACTTAAATTCTTTAATTTTGTTTGTGGTGATCACAGTTTTAAAAGTTACACTTAAAAGGTTCAACAGTAACATATTTTCCCCGAAACAGAGTTTGGAGCTCGGGATATTCCAGACGCTCTTAACAGTTTTCTTTGTTTTTGCATCAGGGTGGACCATGGTGGATCAAAGTCAATGAAGCCTGGTCTGAAGAAATGTAAGTGTCTGTTTTTTAAATAATTTGAAGAAATAGTACTCAATTGATTTTGATTGACAAAATGGGATGGAAGGCCAACAGTCTACCTCAGCAGGCTGTAACATAAAGATATCCTGGGTATGCTGAAGTTGCTCCGCAGTACAGGCCTCTGAGAGCAACAGAAAAGGCTGTACTGCTTCATGTCGCACTGCATCACTCCTTCTTTTCCATCACCATCTTCTTCTAGTCTGTACAGGAAGGATTGCAGTCTGGTGTAGGGTCTCACAGGCTTAGTCAGTTGCACGGCTTCTTCTACCACTCAGCAATACCTGTACTGAACAAAATCTAAACAATGCTATTCATATTCAAAGTGAATTTAATAAATAAGTAATTATTAAAAACTTAATTTGTCCTGTAAGAGCTGTTGCTGTTCTCTCCATCAGATGCCTGTGAACTCACACTGGACCCAAACACAGCAAACAGGAAGCTCATAGTGTCGGACCACAACACAAAGGTGACAGTGGGGAAAGAGACGCAGCCCTACCCTGATGATGCAGAGAGATTTGACTACTGGAAGCAGCTGCTGTGTACTGATGGTTTGACTGGTCGCTGTTACTGGGAGGTTGAGTATACAGGGCAGGTTTATGTAGCAGTGACTTACAGAGGAATCAGAAGGAAAGGAGACGGTGACGACTGCTGTCTTGGCAGGAATGATCAGTCCTGGAGTCTGAGTTGCTCTGATGGTGGTTACTCTGGCCTGCACAGTAACAAAAGTGCATCCGTCCATGTCCCCGCTGCAAACAGAGTGGGAGTGTACCTGGACTACCCTGCTGGCACTCTGTCTTTCTACAGAATCTCCTGTAATAAACTGACCCACCTCCATACCTTCTGCACCACATTCAGTGAGCCGGTCTACCCTGCCTTCAGGCTTAAGACTGGCCCGATTAATTCTTCTGTGTCTTTGTGTTGGAAACAGTAAAATACAGTCTCATTAACCTTTTCTGACAGATTTTTGGTGATGATGACATTATATATTCCCTCCAAAGCCTCTTTACTCTTTGTAAAACACTGGAGTCTTACCCTGCTTGCCCCATTCTGGATTATTCTATCCTGTTTTAGATTTATGTTTAGTTTTGTGTTCCTTGTCTTTCTATGGACTACTGCTTCACTCTATGTAAGCTTGAGTATTCCTGTTTGAATTTGGATAAACACAAACAATAAACATCAGAAACTGCACCAGTGTTTCCAGCATCTAGCATTTGGGTCCACATCTCCGTTTTTCCTGCCTCGGTACAATGCCAATCCAGACACCCTACTGCACATTATCTTTGCCCCAGATTGTTGCGACAGAGTGTATATTTGGATGAAGAGATGCTGTAAATCATATTTAGATCAGATTAAAGTCTGTACTTGTATCAATATGATTGACAGAAGCCTCTGAACGTATTGAAATTTATTATTTGATGCTGCCTTCATGATTTCCAATCGACTCCTAAGATAAAAGTCTGCTTTGAACTTTGCCACAAAACTCTTGTAGCTGAACCCATGTCAGGAGCTTTGAAGGTTTCATCATCTACATTAAACTGCAGATATAACCAGGAAGACGGAATATATAAAATAAAAATCTAACATTTCCTTAATACATAATATATTTTCTTCAGGCTAAGTGACCTGTTGGAAGCTGTAAAGTTCTGTTGTCAGGTCTCGTCATCCAGTCTGAGAGAGCTGGACCTGAGCAACAACAACCTGCAGGATTCAGGAGTGAAGCTTTAAAGAGGTGGTATTATAACTCATTTTAAAGTTCATAATCTTATTTAGAGGTTCCACCAGAACAGTTTTACATGGTTTAATTTTCAAAAAACACCATAGTTTTGTCAGACTGCACATTGCTGCAGCTCCTCTTTTCAGCCTGTGTTGTACGCTTCGTTTTAGCTATGGAGTGATACATCTTGTCTCTAAATGATCTTTGTTGTGAGTTGGACATGCTCAGTTCCTAGTTAAGGACTACAAGCCAATCAGAAGCAGCGTAGGTAGTAGTAACACGGCTTCAGTTCAGCTGTACATGTTCCCCTTACCAGCTTGGCAACATGGACTGGAGCGAGAGTTTCAGAGTGGTGAGTTATTAACCTGTAACAAAAGTATCTTTCATCTATAAAGTTTTAACTGAGCTCTGTCTCTACATCACAGTAACAACTTTATGTCCACTGACTGCCTGGAGGGTAGCTAGTGTTTAGAAGGGAGAGGAGAGCTGTGTGCTGCAGCTCACTGTTTTTCCACCAGTGTTTCTGAGGGCGTGTCGGAGTAGCCGCTCAGCGAGCATTATGACGTGTGTTTTCTTGTGACATCACAGGGATGAAAGGGAAGCGGCTGGACTACAAACAAGCTGTTTTCAGGCAGTTCAGAGCAGAGTTTTCTGTGGGAGATGGGAACTTTGGGCTTTTTCACTTTGCAAACCTATTACATGCACAAAAAATGTACTCAATAAAGGAGAGGAAAAAAGCTAAAAAGCACAATACCACCTCTTTAAAATTTTGTACTGTGTCTAATCTTTACATAAATGTATACACACACTTAACTAATCCCTGCCTTTGTAGATTATACGCCTCAGACAGTTTGTCTGAACTTGCTGTGTGTCACAACAAATGTCTTTCCTGGTCCTAAAACATCTTTGTGAAGTGAAGGTGAGCTTCAGGACAAACAACATAAAAGTAAATCTTACATTAGCAGCAGGGGCAGACTGGCACAAGAAGACTCGACCCCAGGCCGCTAATTTTTGTGGACTAACCTTTTTAAATGCAGTCTACGGCAGGGGTTTTCAAAGTTTGAGACTGCGAGCCTCTCCTCATACAAAGCTTGGGAAATGCCCCTCACCCCCACCCCAATCTTTAATTTACTTGGAAAATTTCTCTCAAATTCTGGATGTCTATGAGATCATGATTATATTATCTTATCCCATAGACACTCAACATTTGAGCCAAAATAGCTTAATATTGCTGTTTGACATAACATCTGACTGCACCAAAAAGTTTTAACAAAGCTCTGTCCTAAGCCATTTATTAGTTTCTGACTCTGATGGGGGGGCAAACAGTTCCCAAAAACTACTGTATCTCTGTATTCTCACACATGTAGGCTATTCTATGTGATCTCCTTTGGATAGCTAATGCAATAAGTAATGTAATATTGTTTCACTTCCATTCACTGAGCCTCCCCTGAAACTTTTTGGAGCCCCCCTGGGGAGGCCCACCTCACACTTTGAAAACCCCTGGTCTATGGGACAAACCCTATTTGTTGATGTAACGGGTACCAAACCGAGTCTGCCTGCGTCGCGGCTGCCGGAGAGGATCACAGCCAACCTAGTCTGTACTCACATCAGAAGCGCTGCAGTGCAGTAAAAGTCCAGAAATATCACATAACCACATCATATACTATATTTATGAGGTATTTACTGTATGTTTAGGTAGTTGTGTGAACTACAATATTGTAAAATATAAATAATCTGAGACTAAGATCCACTGTTTGTCACAGATAAATAGAAATTACCCGTATATGGATGCACAGTATTTACAGTTAACCTAAGATCCACAGCTTTTACTAATATGTTGAAATTAATAAAAATTTTCCATATTATATCAGATTTTTCATGAAAGAAAAAATATATATTTAAAAAAGGCTTTATGATTATTGCAACCGAGTATTTTTAAAGGGAGATGTAACAATTTTACAAAATCACAGTCACACACATCAGAAGTATTCTGCATCATAAAAAATGACCAAATTAAAAACAGGCATTGATAAGAAACAGATGAGAATCCACAGTTTATTTTCAGGGCTTAATGCTCCTTAAATGTTTCTGTACTTCATAAGAATGACGGTTTGTTTATGAATGGATTCATAACCATATATATATGGTCCCTACAGTTCTGTGTTACTAAACACTTATGCTACCAATTTCTAAAAAACATTCCTCCTCTGGTCCATTCAGCTCGGCTGCCGTTTGATCCTCAGATTATGGCTGATTTCATGAACTGAAAAGAAAGAGAGAAAATAAATTTTAAGACATAGCAGCAGTAGAAATAAATAGGGAAATTAAAATGTAATCAGTATGACCTTATTAAACAAAATATCAAAGGTCACTGTACTGTAGTTACTGTTTCGTTATGTGGTCTTACTTTAATCCGTATGTCAGTACAATACCAGAGCTGACAAGCAGATGTCACCATTTTAACTATCAAACGATGGAACGTTTTCAGCACAGTTTCTTCAGAAAGCTTTATTTCCAGTAATTACATTTGTTTGTATTATTCAATTGACTTCATCACTTCCAATCCAAATAACTAACTTTTTAATTAATTAATTAATCTAATTTTTTTAATGTACTGATGTCTATTTTCAAATTAAAGTGTACATGTACATATGTTCCTAACTAAATACCATATTGACCTAAACTAATCCTTTCTGTTGCTGTCCATTTGTCATTTCTATACAGACATATAAATGCTGCAAAGTTTATTGTATATGTTTATGTTTTGTCATTGGTTAAAATCATAGTCCTTGGTCAGCATTTTGAAGTTATCTGACCCATTTGCCAAACAGAAAGTTGGTATTGAAAGAATCTGCAAAACTCCAGATTAACATTAATAACTTTTTTGAAATGTATTAATTCTATAATATTTCTACATGGCATTTTTAAAATTTCATTAGTTTTAAGTGATATTATCTGCACAGTTTTAATAAAAGCATTTCAACTCACCTGCTTGAAAGAGAAGCTGCCGACCTCACAGTCACATGGCAGACCCAGCAGATGGGCCTTGAAACGTTCTGAGACAGGAAGCAAAAATGTAAAACCTCAACTAACTGAATTTGACCCAAAACAAAAAATATATGTATATGCTCAGAATCTGGTTTTTACAATAATTCCTCAGAGTATGTGGTCACTTATTATTAGGGTGTTTTTTTATACTCTTAAAATGTACATTATTATAATTTTATTATGGAAATGATCTCAGAAGAGCTCAGATCATCCTTTAAAATTCAAATCATGACATAAATGCTTTCCTCACAACAGCTCTCAAACATCACCACAAACAAGCAAACTAACAGCTGAGTTACAAAGAGAACGAAATATAAATAATCTTATTATTGTAAGAAGGTAAGATGACATCCCCTCTTCTAAATGTTGCTAGAGAATAATCTACACTTCACCCTGATGAGATAACACAGAAGTACATGTCTTATTTAATAAAATATCAGTGGTATTTTAATGACTGCACTAACAAGAGATCAGTGATGTCACTGTGGGATGAGCACATTTGATTAGTGGAACGATGTATGCTACCATTTTCAAACCGTTTCACTGAACACTCAAACTATTTAAATGTGATTTAAACAGTCACATAGATGTCTGTTCTTTTGGAATTAAATATATTTGTACCAACAACAGTGTGTGGAATTAATTCGTCATATTTGGTAAAGAGGAAAAAAAGTAAACTCTTAAAAAAAAACTTTGTAAAAGCATTATATACTCTTCTTTTTAAAAATAGTATTGTTGTTGTTGTTGATGTGGTGGAAGTACTATTTTACTTTAGTGAAAGTAGCAATGCTATAGCGCAGAAATACTATGTACATTTGCATCTGACTAATGTACAAGTACAAAAGTACCAAAAGTAAAAATACTCAATTTGCAAAAGAGCCCATTTCAGCACAATATATATTACTGAATCATAATTATTGATGATTTAATGTGTTCATCAGTTTAATGTCACAGCTGCCGCATGTGGACTAACTTTTAATTAAGTTGTCAAATAAATGTAGTGAAGTCAAAAGTACAATAGTGTAAATAGGACAATATTTGCCAGTGAAATGTAGTGGAGTAGAAAATATAAAGTACCCCAAAATTTACTGACTAAGTACTACTTAGTCACTCTCCACCACTGTTAGTGTGTGGAACTGGTACGCAGCTACATTACGTTACCATTACCTCTGAGAATCTGAAGTTTTGTCATGACGGCCATATACTCATCGTAGTCGATCCCACCTGTGGAGCTGTAGTCGTGCCACAGAACTCTGAAGGTGTCCTCATCTAAATTGAACTCTAAGGATGGAGAGAGTGATGGATGAAAAGCAATCCACAATTAAAACTAGACTGATTGAGATCCAACTCAGTCAGTTAATGTTTTCAGCTTTTGACCGACTTTACTATTAAAGATATAATATATTACCACGGGCAGTCAGAGCCTTTTTCATTTGGGTTTGAGTGACGGAGGGTGGGTTCCTGCTCTCGTAGCTCTCCACATACTCCCTCCTGGTGATAGCTACATAGTGCTCCAGTCTGAAGAACTCCGCCACATCCACGTCTCTAGACTTGTCTGCCTGAAAGTGCTGGTTAAAGAGCTTAAAGGAACTGAAAACATATAACACCTTATTACAAAATGGCTCCAGTTAAAGCAAAATGAAGATTTAAAGATTACATATTGCATCCAGTGCATGTATAACCTGTTGTAGCCTGATTGATATAAGTTTGGTGCACCCATACACCTACAGATCTCTGATACACACTAGCAGATCACTTACATTATTACACTTGTCTTAACTCGCAGCATCACTGTTAAATATATTCACTATAATCCAGTGTGTTCCCGCTGAAATCTGTCTGTTTTAACAGGTTGGAGGATGATCACAGTTTCACTCAGTCAGCTGTCTTTTGAAAACTGGGTCTGTGGTTGATTTATCAGTAAACTGTCAACCGAGGTTATCAAACTGTAAACTTGAGTATACACCGTAGCGTGTAGTGTGACCTCATGGTCCTAATCACAATGTTAATCGATTATGTTTTTATTGGAAAGTACAGATTTCTTCAATGTCAAGTTGACGGACTGAACAATTCTTCCTGAAAAGGATACATCCGTGAGGGTCAACAGTAGGCGGGCTGTCTTGAGACTCAGTGCTAAATTGGGGAGCATAAATATGATCATGAGTGCAAACACGTCTCATTCAGATTATTAGAAAGAGTATAAATTTTGGGGGGGAAATAAACAGACATTTGCCACGAACAGAATAGCCACCAGCGTTCAGCCTAGCAAGAATGCCTTCAGCTCTCAACATCTGTTGGAAACAAGGACAACAGTTACAGTTAGGTTAACGAAAATCGTCTGAGGTGAAATACAATATCGTAAAAAGTACAACGTATAGCTTACAGCTTTATCACACAAAATGATCCCAGCTGTGAGAGTCTTTAGAGTTTTGGGCAAACATTTCTATACAAGATGTCTGTCTGATAGTGCTGTAGCTAAATTTAAGGATGCGATTCCATCTGCTCTAAATTCATTATCAAGTCACAAAGTAACAGAGGACTCCTATGCTAATTTCAGTCCCAGAGGAATTGGCGTTCCACCAAAGTGGAAAATTCTCGTTTAATTTGGCAAGATAGTCTTAAAACGTATAAGAAGGCTCTTCCTAATGCCAGAGCAGCGTACTACTCGTCATTAATAGAGGAAAATAGGAACAACCCCAGGTTTCTTTTCAGCACTGTAGCCAGGCTGACAGAGAGTCACAGCTCTATTGAGCCAAGTATTCCCATAGCTCTCAGTAGTTACGACTTCATGAGCTTCTTTAATGATAAAATTCTAGCTATTAGAAATAAAATTCACCAAGACCTGCCCTCAACTGGCACCAACTTATCTTATCTTCTCTTAACTCAGGAACCTTAGAAACAGCTGTAGAACCAGATACATGTTTAGACTGTTTTGCTTCCCTCAATCTTTACCAACTAACTTCAATAATTTCTTCATCTAAACCATCAACCTGCGTCTTAGACCCCATCCCGACTAGGCTGCTTAAAGATGTTTTATCCTTAGTCAGCACTTCTATACTAGATATGATCAATCTATCTTTATCAACAGGCTATGTACCACAGTACTTTAAAGTAGCTGTAATTAAACCTCTTCTGAAAAAGCCCAAACTTGATCCGGATGATTTAGCCAACTATAGACCTATATCTAACCTTCCATTTCTCTCTAAGGTTCTGGAGAAAGCAGTTGCTAAACAGCTGTGTGACTTTCTACAGAGCAGTAGTTTATTTGAGGATTTTCAGTCAGGATTTAGAGCTCATCATAGCACAGAGACAGCACTGGTGAAAATTACTAACGACCTCCTTATTGCATCAGACAAAGGACTTGTCTCTGTACTGGTTTAATTAGATCTTAGTGCTGCATTCGATACCGTTGACCATCAGATCCTATTGCAGAGACTGGCATAAAAGGAACCGCTCTAAGCTGGTTTAAGTCCTATTTATCAGATTGATTTCAGTTTGTACATGTTAACGATGAGTCCTCCATGCACGCCAAAGTTAGTCATGGAGTTCCTCAAGGATCTGTCCTCGGACCAATCCTCTTCACTTTATATATGCTTCCTTTAGGCAATAATATCAGGAAATATTCCATAAGCTTTCATTGTTATGCAGATGATACTCAGTTATATCTATCGATCAAGCCAGATGAAACTCATCAGTTAGCTAAACTTCAGGATGTTAAAACCTGGATGACCTGTAATTTTCTAATGATAAACTCAGATAAAACTGAAGTGATTGTTCTGGGGCCTAAGCACCTCCGTGACGCATTATCTAAAGATATAGTTTCCCTTGATGGCATCGCCCTGGCCTCCAGCACCACTGTGAGGAATCTTGGAGTTATCTTTGATCAGGACATGTCGTTTAAGTCCCACATTAAGCAAATTTCAAGGACCGCCTTTTTTCACCTATGTAATATTGCAAAAATCAGGAACATCCTGTCTAAAAATGATGCAGAAAAACTAGTCCATGCATTTGTTACTTCTAGGCTGGATTACTGCAAAAGTCCATTAAGACTCTTCAGCTGATCCAGAATGCTGCAGCACGTGTTCTGACAGGAACCAGGAAAAGAGATCATATTTCTCCTGTCTTAGCTTCTCTGCATTGGCTTCCAGTAAAATCCAGAATAGAATTTAAAATCATTCTTCTTACCTACAAAGCTCTCAATGGTCAGGCACCATCTTATCTTAAAGAGCTCATAGTACCTTACTACCCCACCAGAGCACTGCGCTCCCAGAATGCAGGGTTACTTGTGGTTCCCAGAGTCTCCAAAAGTAGACTTGGAGCCAGAGCGTTCAGCTATCAAGCTCCTCTCCTGTGGAACCAGGTTCCAGTTTGGGTTCAGGAGGCAGACACCATCTCCACATTTAAGAGTAGGCTTAAGACTTTCCTCTTTGATAAAGCTTATAGTTAGGGCTGGCTCAGGTTAGTCCTGAACCATCCCTTAGTTATGCTGCTATAGGCCTAGACTGCCGGGGGATTTCCCATGATGCACTGAGCTCCTCTCTCCTCTACTTTCTCTCCCTCTGTATGCAACCTCATCCCATTATTGCATGTTACTAACACAACTTCTCCCCTTTCTGGTAGTCTTGTGCTTTCTCGTCCCTCTCCTCTCTCCTCCTATCACTTCCTGCAGGTGTTTCTGGCTCTGGAGCTGTGGAGTCTGGATCTGTGGCTGCGGGTCACCTGCTGCCCCCGTGTTCCTGCTCGACACCCTCTGCTGCAACGACTATTGTTACTAGTCCTATTGTTATTATTGTTATTATAATCATTAACATTACGACTGTTACCATTAACACTACTGTAAATATCTGTACCATTTTTCATTTAGTCATTAGCAACATCACCTTTTCTGTCTGTACCTCTGTGTGTATATTGTGTAGGCTGCCTCCCTCTCCTCTCTCTCTCCTTCCATCCTCATCTATTTCTCTCTGTTCCTCTCCTGCCCTCTCTCTCTCTCTCTCTCTCTCTCTCTCCCTCTCTCTCCTTCACCCCCAACCGGTCGAGGCAGATGGCCGCCCACCCTGAGCCATGGTTCTGCTCGAGGTTTCTGCCTCTTAAAAGGAAGTTTTTCCTTGCCTCTGTCGCCTAGTGCTGCTCTTGGTGGGAACTGTTGGGCTTCTGTAAATATCATCACAGAGTACAGTCTAGACCAGCTCTTTTATGAAAAGCGCTGTGAGATAACTGTTGTTGTGATTTGGCGCTATATAAATAAAATTGAATTGAATTGAACTTGTAAACATGGCCAATTTTGTTTGTTTAAATGCACAACCAAGCTGATGTTTTAGTATGAAGTTAACATTAAAGTTCTGAAAACACTTGAAATACCTCAGGTCTGCTGTCTTCCTGTGAAAGAAAAGGGAAATAAAGAAGTCAGAAAATATTCTGATTTCATTGTCAAACTGAATTCTTCTAATTCCTTTTTTCATCAACAAGGTGTCCATTACTTACTGATATACACATTTCCTCTGGGAATGAGTTACACTTCAGCTCATCTGGCCAGTAAACGCCAAAACTGGTCATCAAACCCTCACAGCCCTGTTTGGCTCTCTCACAGAATGACCTGCAGGGCCGCTGCACTTCCCCCGCCACACACTGGGGCGCGTACACCATGCACACGAAGAGGCGTATGTCCACTGAGCACACAGTTTGCACGATTGAGTTGAAAAAGGACATCTTCCCAACTGCTTCTCTTTGACTTGTGTGTCCCAGAAGATTTGGAGTGATGGTCTGGTTGTAGGACAGGCCCTGGCACATCGGTATGGTGATGGGCTCACAGACCCCCCCACTGCTGCCCACGCCATACTGGAACAAGGCACAAGTGCACACTGTCATTATAAGTCTAATTGTCTTTGGCTTGTGTGGCCTTTCTTTTATTGTGGCGACACCTTTGGCGGTCATTTCACGAAGGTTGGGCTCAAACAAAACATTGATAGATTCATAGCAGCTGGTCCGCCGCAGACAAGAATTTAGCAGTCATGTCAACCAAATGCCAAATCAATTGTTTTTCTTCTGTGTTAGCTAGATAGTAACGTTATCATTAGTTATATTAGTTCATGTTAGCTAGGCATGGCCGTTTGCCACTGTAGGTTGCAATTAGGGGGCACAAATGTTAGTAGGTAACTTTTTTCTATTGCACCTTGCAAAACCTTCACAGGTGCACTGAAAATACTGTACCATAAAAACAATTTCAGAGAATTTTCAAAGCTGAATAAATAAAAGAACTCTGTGCTCTACAAATATAGCTGTTATAATTAAAAACTCCACATGTAGTGGCTTAAAACATAAACATCCTTATAAACCTGAAGCTCTGTTCATCTTCATGTTGGAGTCAAAAAAAGCAGACTTACGTGTTCACAGGACTCCGTGGTAAATGCTTCACACCTGAGGGCTTCAGGCCACTGAACGCCAAACCTGTTCATCAGTGATTCACAGCCGGACCTCGCATGCTCACAGATCGTTCTGCAGGGTGGCCGAGGTTTCCCTGACACACACTCAGGAGTGTAGACAGAGCACAAGAACGGCTTCAGATAAGGAGAGCATGCCACCTGTACAAGTGGTGCAAACTGATGCATCTCCAGCCCTGCTTCGTCCTGAGTTTTGTGGTGTAGAATGTTGGGCAGCACAGTCTCAGTGTAAGGCAGGTCTTTGCAGAGAGGGACCGTGATTGGCTGACATGCTGCCAGGGATGTTAGAGCAAAGCTGGTGTCTTGGACCTGGAAGAACAGAATACAGAAACCTAAATCAGTGATGTCTGAATAAATAATATTTCTTCGCCGTCAAGGATTGGCAAGAGCCCCTCCATGGAGAGTTGTATATGTATAAACTTCTTTATACTGTATATATTATATTTTACATTAGATATTCATTTAAATTAATTATGTAGGCTATATTTTTCAAAGACTCTTCATTTAATACGACTTCTGCTGGTCACTGCCTAAGTTACATTCTTATTTGTTGCAAGAGATAAATGCGCAAGATTCTTTATCTGCAATACGTTGAAATATTCTGTCATATTGATGGTTAAAAAGTGGGATAGTTGAAGAATAACTGTCCTAGTTGTTTGTAAGAACAAAAAATCGTCTCTCAGACAGGAATCGGCTTCCATTGTTCACCTCAAAGAGCCAGCTCCTTGAACTGAAATACAGCTATGGCTTTTTGGTTTTGGTGTGCCACTCCAGGATAATCGGTGGCACCCTCTGGCCACCCGATGTTCAATGTCTGGTGGCACCACTGCCTGTGGTTCTCGTCTACCACACATGCACCTGCCTCTTTTGCTCGTTGTGTCAAAGTGTCTTTCAAAAAAGTGATTTCACACGAGAAGGCTCATGGGGAGCACCAAGTACCCCTACATGAGGGTTGGGAAATGCTTAAAAAGAACTAGTTCATACGACATGTTGTCTGATCTCGTCAGAAGTAAAAAGTATTGAAACTGGCGCTGTTCCGTACAGCCACACTGGAGAAGTTCAAACTGCATGAACGTCAGATGGTTGGTTTCAGAAAGTTACAGAGCTTGTTGGGCGCAGTCAGAAAGGTGTGGGGGGGGAGGGATTGCTGAAGCTATTTGACCATCTGACAAGCAGTTCTGATGCAATGTTGCCTAAATGTGTATGTTAGCCACTTCAGAAGCCGTTCTGGTGTGACCATTTTCTATTTGCTCGTTCTGTTTTTTAATTGTTGCCTTGTTGTGTAACTTAATTTTTGAAATGCGCTCTACAAATATAGGTTAAATTATAGTTATAATTAAAACTCCACATGTAGTGGCTTTTAGAACATAATCATCCTTGTAAACCTCTGTTCATCTTCATGTTGGAGTCAAAAAAAGCAGACTTACTTGTTCACAGGACTCCGTGGTAAATGCTTCACACCTGAGGGCTTCAGGCCACTGAATGCCAAACCTGTTCATCAGTGATTCACAGCCGGACCTCGCATGCTCACAGATCGTTCTGCAGGGCGGCCGAGGTTTCCCTGACACACACTCAGGAGTGTAGACGGAGCACAAGAACGGCTTCAGATGAAGAGAGCACTCCACTTTTACAAGTGGTGCAAACTGTTGTATGTCCGCCCCTGCTTCGTCCTGAGTTTTGTGGCGCAGAATGTTGGGCAGCACAGTGTCAGTGTAAAGCAGGTCTTTGCAGAGTGGGACCGTGATTGGCTGACATGCTGCAGCGGATGTCGGAGTGACAGATCTTTCTTGACTCTGGATGGACAGAAATATAAATCAGTGATGCTTAATAAAAAATATTTTTAATTCTGTAGTGTTATTTTAGCGTCTCTGCCCTTTTTCCTTTGTGGTTGGTCACAGTGGACTTGTTGTTAGCCCATGTGTCCATATGACCACTTAAGAAACCCAAACTGCAACCCTGTGCACTACGGTGGTTGTGGCCCATCAAACTTTCACCCCTGCCTTTTAAAAGGCAAGAAAGTAAGTAAGGGTATTTAATATTCTTTATAGTTCTTTAAAGAGTCTGTACAAGCTTCTGACTCCATTCTATATTGTGAAAACAAAAACAACAAAACAAATTTCAAAACAAGAGATGATGTCGCTTCACACTAACCTGTAGGCCTACACAGTTAGACTCTGGTAAAGTTTCACATCGGAGCCTCATTGGCCAGAACAACCGCTTTGCTTTGAGGGCAGGATCGCAGTCTCTCTTGACCTTCTCACAGAGAGCTCGGCACGGCTTCATCCGGCTGTCGTCCTCCGAGCCGCATTCAGGCACAACAACACGACACATGAGTGTGGCGACCTCCGGTGAACAAGCAGTCTCCACAATCTGAGCAGTCTGCTGCAGGCTGAAGCCTGTAACTCCACTTGGATGGAGGGTGGTGGTGTAACCCACACTTTGACAAAAGCTGGCAGTTACTGGCTTGCAATTTGCCTTGCTATGTGCCTGCTGAGGAAACAGAAGCAGTCCCAAAAACACCAAGACCAAATTCCTCATGGCTTTCAGTAATCTCAAAAACTGTCCTGTGCAGTTAAAGTTTTTGGAGGCTTGAGACCAGTGCGTCTCTGCTGCTCTGCTTAGGAGGTGGGGCAGGAGTCCACAAATGGAGTGTCTACAAACAAGGCACTGATTTAGGACCACTGGTAAGGTCACATATCAATAAGATGCTCAACACCAAATGAGTGCCAAACTGGTCCCAGAGCAGCAGCCCCATTCTGAGAAATTCAATCCAAGGGATCGAGAGCTTGGTGAGAAGCTCAACATCTGGTTGTGATTGCGTGCTTAGTGTGTAACCTGTGGGGTATGTTGCATAAAAGCTGGCACAATAAGCCTGACGTCTGGATGGAAAGTATTTAAACACTACTAGGATAATAAAGTGTTAACATGTCTTCAAAAAACAAGCTCTGGAGGATTGATTTCTGAAAATAAAGACTTTTAGAATTACATGCCAACCATGTGGCATCACGTCGTTTTACCGTAAAGAGACTTGATTCTCTTGTGCAAACTGACCTAAAAAAACTGCAGTGCAAGAGAAGGTGGTTGACTTCCTTTCTGTTAGATACCAGATTCTTGTCTCCTTTTTTAAAGACCCCTGAAAGTAAACGCTTTGACCGATTTCTCAGCTGACTGTTCTGCGTTTTGTACTCTTTGTAAAGTGAGAACAAGCCAGTAATATGAAGTGGGGACCATTTTTCCCCAAACATCAGTTTTGCTTCCCAGTACTGTACCCCACTGTTTACAACATACTTTTCCTCTAAAATTCTTTTAGAATTGTTTCCCATAAGCTTGTTTTCTTCCACTGTACCTACCTAAGTACTCGTAGGAACCGGTAAGTATTTTATTAGTACCTGATGCAGGGCTGGACTGGTAATCTGGCATGCGGGCAAATGCTCGGTGGGCCGAGCACCTTTGTGGCCGGTGTAACGTAAATTATTTATTTTGGAAAACAATTAACCGATATGTTTACTGCCGGGCATGCAGGAGCTTCAACATCAGCTGCAGTACCCTGCGTAGAGCAGGTACAGGCACCTGAAGGAGTGAAAGAGCTGTGGTGGCCCCTGCCAGGCAGAAGAGGAGGCTGTGTTAGCGAAGCAGAGGGACAAAGTGACAGGGCCCAGTGAGAGAGAGAGCAGGAGGAGAGTGGAGGTGAAGCATGTAGCTCAACCTGTAGGATGGGGGCAGGGAGGGAGGGTCATTCACACCGGGGACTCTGGGGACATGTAGCCACCACTTTTTGAAAGCATCTGTTAAAAATGTTCTGAAAAATAGCTTGCAGGAAATTAAGTGTTTAATGCTCAAAAGACGAGGACCCCCAGACCCCCTTATCGAATATTTCATCTATTAATATTTTTTTCGAAATAGTAGGTCTATTACTCTTGTCTTGTAGTCATGCACACAAATCTTGTGAAAATGTTACGTCTCAGTGTTTCTATTGGCGAGGGGTGTCCGACCGATGTTGGTGGGCCACCTAGGCCAAAAATGCCAGGGCCGATTTTTTGTCCCAGTCCAGCCCTGACCACGGCTCTCCTTTACTCCTTCAGGAGCCGGTGCCTGCTCTACGCAGGGTACTGCAGCTGATGTTGAAGCTACTGCAGCCCCGGTAGCAAACATATCGGTTATTTTCACGCATTGGGCGGCCTCCATCTGAAGAAACAGAGAGCAGAGGGGGTGGGGGCCAGTAAGAGATTAATATCAGTATAGAAAATTAGCCTACCCAATGGACGCTGTCCATGCTTTATGAGCTGACTGTTGGCCCATTTTTTAAAAACAGTTATATAAACACCGGCCCTAAAGGTGTGTTGGTCCACCGGTGCATTTGCCCGGTATGCCAGATTAACAGTCCAGCCCTGGTACCGGTTACAAAAAATTTAATTACACTTGCAGGGGTATTATAAAAGCAATGAGCAGTAGAGGTGCCTCTTTTCCATCCATGTCCCTGTGCTAAACAGTGTGGAAGTTTCTTTCTGTTATCCATTTTTACTGTAAACAGAAACTGCAAGATCCTACTGTAATTCATTTATTGTAGTTTTGTTGTAATACTGTATTTAAGTGAATTTGTTCATTGGTCAAAATGTGTCTATGTTTATAAGGTGTAGAAAACCATGGTTGGTTATAGTGAGTTTATTCTAAAGTGTGTCAGATTGTAGGCGATGAACGCCTACCCTGTCTACCCTGAGCTGACGAAGCCTCCTGTCTGAACAAGTATGTCGGATTAAGATCTGTGTGAAAGATGCACATCTAAGTTATGAAACAGAAACAAGATAACACAAACTGCAGACTGCCTGCATAATCTGAGCAAAACATTTCTTCCACAGTTTAAAGCTGCACTCGGGCCAAACAAAGGATGGACCAAAGGAGACGTGACTTTGGAGCGCAAATGAAGCACACACAAGGATGTTCGATGTCTTTTACATGTTGAAATACAAAAACAAAGATAGAGTGGCATGGCTCTACAAGATTATCTTCAGACGGTGAGAGGTGGGATTCAGAAGCTCTGCCTCTCCACGCATATTTTCCATCAGCTGAACAACACGACACACTTGAGACAGTTTTACAAAAAATGAGCTTGTGTAACTAAAATGAAAAGCACTGGTTTTGTTTATTGTTTCGTGTCACAGATACAGTAAATGTCCTCATGACTGCAACTTGGTGCTTTACAATAAATGAGAGGCAATAAAATAAAAAACACAACAAGAAACACATACCGTATGTTTGTGAAACCACACGACTGCTTCTGTGCTATCATGAAGACACTGAGTGATAACTAGTGTGACATGCATGATGTCAACAAAACCAAATGTTTGGACTTCCGGAGGCATAACTGAGTGTCCATTTGGAGATACCAAGCTTTAGATTTCAATGAAGCAAAAAATCGGAAGGGTTCCACTGCAGGAAGGACATGCACTATTAACGGTAAAAATATGTCAGAGGACGTCCAAAGGCCAACAAAATAATCTTCCCTTTATGTTCATTATTTAATATCTCTGAGAACAGAGGCTAAAATCAAAATAACCATAAGACTTAGGGTTCCTTGGATTGTTTAAATGAGAACTAGACTTCATTCTCCAAAAATAGGCGTGACTTTTCCCAACGAAGACCGACTGGTGTAGTTTGACTTGGGACTTCCACGAGCCTTCAGAGCCACCAGTACAAAGTTTCTTGGAGAAAAGTTTGGGTCGAAGAGAGGAATTAGCCGACTGACCACACCTGCACAAAGATGAGTATAGAACAGTGTAACAGCAGTAAGTTAAAATTGAAGTCACAGCACCCAGCGGCTCACCGTTCTCCTGCAGGTAGATGATCCTGTCCAGGAGCACCAGCGTCTCCACCACAGGAGCCAGCAGCAGAGCCAGGCTGAAGTACACCACCACCCTGCCCTGCAGCTTCAACATGGCCTCCACCCGCTCCGGGTCCAGAGGCAACTCAGGAGGCAGGCCTACCCGAGCCAGACCCAGACGGGCGTACCTGAGGGAATACGGATTTGGACAAAGGAGGCCATTACAATTAATTCTTAAATTGTGGTATTTAAAGCAGTGGCACTCAAACATGTGTAGGACCCCTAAACTGACGCAAATTAGATCACGGACCCTCATTTGATAAGATTTTGTCCCAGGATCACCCAGCTGATGGGATTTTGGCTTTTAGATGCTTTATTCCAGAAAGTGTATGAAATCCATCACCAAAATAGTCATGCATTCAGTCACTATGTTACTTATGGATGGAATTATAGTGAAAATAAATGATTCCCCTTTTTGCTGGGGACCCCCTCAAGGACCCCTGGGAGTCCCCGGACCCCACTTTGAGAACCACTAATTTAAACCACACGTTTATTTCAAACAGGCATTTTTACCAAAAGGTTTCCTGTTTAATAAGGACTATAAAATCGTCCAGTGGCTCAAAGGGCATCATTTATCCCACTCATTTGACATGTTTGCAACAAAAAACATTTAAGTTTAAAGATGTTGAAAACTCACACACAGTGGCTTTAAATATGCAAGCGGCTCCTCACTTTTAGCTGCTGGTTCAACTGGGTGTTTGATTATAATGAATTAAATGAACTGATGTATCAACTTAAAAATGGATTTAAATATATTTAATTATAAACTTAATTTGAATTTAAATGATAATGATGCATTAACAACCTGTTAATTTTTTAATTTTAAAAATTAATAAATTACAAATATTTTTTGCAGTTAACTGGTTGATGGACCTTTAGTCTGTAAAATAATGTCATAAAACACTGGAAAATGTCCCAGAGCTCAAGGTGACGTCTCTAAATTGACCCATTTTGTCCGACCAACAGTCCAAACTTAAAAGATATTAAATTTACAAAGATATGAAACATAGAAAAGAACAAAACCCTCACATTTGAGAAGCTGGGACCACAGACGAGTGGTTATCAAAAAGGTTGGTGATTATTTTCTATTCTTACTGTATATTTCTATAGATTGATCAACTCATCAATTGTTTTAGTTAAAGCACAAGAGAATCACACATTTTTGGACAACTTTGTACTTTTGTAAATTTCTTCTTATGGGCAGCGAAGCTTCAGCACAACATGTTGTAACATTAGACCTGTTGGCCTGGAGGCTTCAGCGTTCACTCACTCTGTAAAGGGTAATAAGTGGGCCTTCTTTATGGTCTGGATTCCTGCCCTGCGCAGATCCGGCCTTGTATCCCTAATGAAAGTCTCCAGCGTTGCCCGGTAGCAGTGTGTCCTCAGTAACTCACTTTCCTCCCGAAGCCTGCGTATATAGTCCTCAATAGCATGGCACGACCCCTCCCGCGCCTTATAGGACAGCTGATGTCCCGGCAACCCCCGCACCCAGGAGCTCATCGGGTAGCCGAACTCTGAGGAAACCAATTCCTGGCCTGGTGTTGGGGGAGCAGGACATTCTACCAGTCCTGGAGGGGTGGGGTTTTCTTTGGTTGTGATTTTCATGTAGCAACACGCCACAGAGGTGATGCCGCGTACATGTGGGCATTTGACGAAGTGGCGGAGGAGAGTGGCGCTTAGGTCACCGCAGGCGTGCAGACCGGTCAGGACAAAGTCTGGATACCTGCACCGGCTGTTTTCCTCAGGACGTGCATCCTCCTGACGGACAGGCTGGACACACGAGCAGCAGTTTTCAGCAGAGGACTCCTCTTCAGACTCGTTGTTGTGTTGTGATCTTAATCCAGAGTCTGTGGAGCCACGAGATGATGAAGTCTGGACCACAGGAGAACATCCCTGAAGCTCACAGCCCCGCAGTCTCTTTTTGCTGGGTCCAGATGGAGTTGGGGGGACTTTGCTGTCACAATCTGCAGTGCTCAGCTGCTTGATGAAGGTCTCCCATGATGCCTTGGGGTTTAACCAACCAGCCACATGGCGGGGAGAGGACTGTGACACTGGGACTGGATAGGAGCCACTCTAGGAAGAAAGATGTTTATTTATTTTGGTGTTGATGGCTATAATCAATTTCTTATATTAACAATTTATTAAATGATTACTTGTGTGTTTAAGGTGTCACTCACATTGAGAAACCTGCGAATACTTATAACCCACCTCTGCAGTACACTTTTTCTCACACCCCCTTGAGAATGGCGATTCACATGAAATACACAAACTACATCTGGTTCATGAACTGTCACAGAATGGCAGTGAAAATGTTCATTAACAGGTAAAACTAAGAGGCCATGCTGCAAAAAGCTTCAATGTTTGGCTTTCAGGAAGCTTTGAGAGAAGAAATATAAAGCTCTTGGACTACTTTTGTGTAATAAGTCCAACAAAGCACCAACCTTTTTCTGCTTCTCCTTCTCTAAGGCCCACAGTAACTGTTCGTCAAACTTGGACGCCATAGCAACCAGGGTGCGATCAGCCTCAATTGCTGTCACTGACAGTCCGAGCCCAAAGGACAGGAAACGAGTCAGGTGACCCTGTTTAGAGCAGACCGGTGGAAACCACGGAAACCCCCCTTAGTGTTTAATGTGCAGCGCCCAACAAAGATCGAACAGAAGTGAGATGCTTCGCTACGTCGCTAAAACAGAGCGTTCAACACACATGGTGAAAAGAGGAGCTGTAAAATGTAATCTAAATCTATTCTGGTTCGACTCTTGAAAAAAAAAAATGATGTCCCCTGAAAATTAGCTAAATATGACCTCTTTAATATGGCAAATACTGCAGCCTGTGAATGATCAGCCCAGTATCCTAGGAACCATGTTCACACTGGACGATTTAACATCCTGTACCAACTACATTTACATTTACTCATTTAGCTGACGCTTTTATCCAAAGCGACTTACAATTGCTATACATGTCAGAGGTCACACGCCTCTGGAGCAACTAGGGGTTAAGTGTCTTGCTCAGGGACACAGTGGTGGATGTCTCACAGTGGGAATCGAACCCAGGTCTCCCACACCAAAGGGAAGCATCTTAATCTAAAGTTAGGTTTTGGATGGGTGTGTAGTGTAGACAGACATCACAGACCTCAGGGAGCCTTACTGTTGCACTGGATGACTCCTTCATCACCACGAACACACACACAGTAGTTTATTTTAACTCAATGTGGATACATCCGCCGCTTAAAATAGGTAAAATGCACTATTCCTTGTTTGAATAATGTCTGTGAAAAACTAGTCAGATGCTGTTTTAGAAAATTACTGAACCCTTTCTAGAAAAAAATCAAAGGATATTTGCAAGCCATTAAAGATGTATGTATGTATTCTATGTCATGATTTATTGACAATAATAAGAAGTGTTTTAGTTGCTTGACTTCACCATTTCTTAATCTCTCTCTTTTTGTACCTTGGTTGCAATGTACAGATATTGCATATATCAATTGGCACTGAAAGTAATCCAGGGTTTTGCAGAATATCACCGTTATATCTGGTAATAGGGTTCGAATGATACCTGTCCAGAGCCCACATCCACCACTCTGTTGCAGTCAGTCTGGTCACAAATCTGTTTAACCAGCTGGGATTTAAAAAAAAAGAAACTGATTAGAAACACTGTTAACAGAAAAAAGTTCTTGCAATTAAACGTAAAAATCAGTGACCAAAGCAAATAAGCAATCCTGTACCGTGCCCAGCTTGCGGATCTCATGCTGTTTCTTGGGTTTGACGTGCTTCCTGAATATGTGTCCCAGCAGTGAGCTCTGACTTTGGTTTTCCAGGAACTCCTCAGGCTTCACCGAGCCAGCTGCCCGGCCTCGCTCCCGCCTGCACTCTCTGGGAAATGCCAGAGCGTGAGCTGTGGCACGGAACGCCAAGAGTGACAGAGGCCACACCGAAGGATATCTGTAATGACCAATTCCCTACGGTTATTATGATTTAGATCATAAGGCTGGCAGTATTTAACAACAGAACAGAAATAACAGAAAATAATCAGTGAGTTAGAGAAGACCATATCCCCGTGCTTTTAGCATCTCAGATTTCAGATTGTGGTGTACTTGTAAAATGCGTGGTTACTTTCCAACAGTACCTCCTGTCTCCATGTGTAGCATCCAGTAATAGGTCTGCAATCTGCGGATATGACAGGCCCTGCAGCACAGGCTGCCAGCTGTTGGGTAATGTATGCCAAAGATCTTCAGTGAAGAACTCCTGTAGGGGAAAAACAAAGTTATTAGAGAAACTACAAAAGGATGGGTGTGTCTATGTGTCTATATGGTAACTGGCAGTGCTTGAAGAAGCAGTAGCCAGTAGCTCTTTCAAAATTCGCTGCACTTGTTTTTTATCTGTTTTTCTGGCTCTATTGCTGAAACACGTGTTTCCTCTGACAGAAATACAGTCTTTGGAAAAGAAAGCTGGGTTTTGGATTAAAGAGCAGCGGAACTTAAGATGATCCACCCAGCCAGATCAACTGGACCAGTTACCACAGCGGGTGCAGTGATCGCCTAGGAGAGGAAAGAGAGCCAGGAAAGGAGCCATGTTGGCCCAGCTTGGACTTAAGGCTGCTACTAAAGGTCAGGTCTGGACAACACAAGACTCAGGTTGGCTAAGCAATGAAAATCAGAGACTTGTGCCGAAATCTTTACAGAGACCTGCCCCATTAACATCCCGGATCAAGCACTTGGTGGGTCCGTGTCCCGAGCTGTCAGCGCAAGACTCCGGCAAGGTGAAAGGAAGTGGACTTTACATCGATGATACTTAAAACACGGTCAAGATGGACACTGTTTCCCAAATATCTGACTTTTTTATTAGAAGATGAAACCATATTATCGTGTTGTTGCTGCTGTTTACATTCACCCCAGATGCAGATTTAAAAAATGCACTTGGGCATGTTCTGGGTGTATACATGCAGGCCTATATATGTATATAAATAACTGCAGTATTGTTTTATTACCATATTTTAATTATCTTAAGATCCGCTGTGTGTAGCTTGAACAAACTTTCTTTTTCGTTGTACAACCTCTTGTTGCATAATGATAAATAAACGAATCATCTTGCACCTTGAAACTGTGTGTAAAAAATTTGATTAATAAGACATTTAAGTTTTTCCATACAGTAATTATCAACTTAAGAATAAATATGATTTAATTTACAATTGCAGCTCAAACAGACAGGGCAGCAAAATAGGCTGGTTGTGTGGAAAACTTGCATACACATCTCACAAAGGCACTTAATCTAGCCACATGTGTACACAATCATGTTTGCATTGAGACGTTGTTGTCAGGGAAACTTGAATTGCCATGTGCAGCGTGATATTTTAAAAAAACTCTGTTTCTATTAACTCCTGTGGCATAGCTAGCGTTAGTTTAAACTGGAAAGGGTGCAGACTGTAACATATTACAAATACGCACGATTATATAGGAGTCGGATAGGTGGCTGTACTGAGACAGGAAAGTGGTGAGTCTTTTGGCCAGCTCTCTCGCTTGTTCTGCTGAAAGGCTTGATGTAAACATCTCCACATCTGGTGACAGGTTGACTGACATGCGTCTGGAAGGCGAGCTAATGCTAACATAAGTGAGCTTGTTAATGCTGCGTTATTTAAGACGAGGTGTGTCTGAAATACCCAGACAGTTACTAAGTAGCACAACACTCAAAATGGACATTTATAATACACAACCTCCGGCGTTTAGCCGCTAAGCTAGCTAGCTAACTGTAGCCTACACATGTAGAATGCGGATGCGTTCAGGTGTTTCTTGTAACTTGTGGATCAGCAAGTCAGCGCTCATACGTTACCAAGAAATAACGCTAAAGTCTGGCTAACGTTACATAGAAACAGGTCCCACAAATCAAGAAGATATATAGCCAAATTGTCTTTGTTGGCTCTTTTTAGGGATATTTGGGATAGCAGAAAATGCGCGAATTATGTTTTATTTTGGTTTCAGTTTTAAAATGTAATGTGCTATTCACCGTTAAGACATTATTGATATACGTCCCACGAAATTAAGTCAACATTCTGTCATGTGAAACAGTAACATAAGGCGTCAACTTAACGCTAACGTTGCTTCGATACTCTTTAGTAGAATTGTTCATTTGTCAGATTTTTCTGGCTGGACACGAATGCAACATGACCCGGATATTGATGGTTAGTTGTGCGTGAGGCGACGCGTGTAGTGCGGTCCACAGTGTGCAGCAGGTCTGGTTTATATTTCATATAAAGGTATTTTCAGATATTTCCTAATATAGTATCTGTCCGTATTAACCTACATCTGTTCACAAACACGGGTAGCCGAATCTTCCGCTAAGAGACACGGAATTAACGTTAGCATTGTGACGTTACAGCTCAGAAAGCGTTAGCGAGCAAACTGGCTCGCTGGCGGTTAATGAGGACATTATGGCGGGTGTTTGTTTTTCTTCTGTCAGTAACGTTAGCTTGTAAGCCACTTGTACAGTAATGTGGGGGAAAAGCCCACTTTTTAATGTCACAGCTAAATGAATTAGGTTATAACCACAAATTAAGGAAACGGAAGTAGTAACGTAACAGTTACGTTCTTCATGTACAGGTATGACGTGAGTTAATTAACTGTAACTTTACATATCGTTATTTAAAGTTATATTATATTTTAAGACGAGTAAAAAGCATCTCATAACGGGTAGAAACCGTAAACTTAAGTGCACAAGCTTAAGTGTGGTTTGCAGAGGCCCGCAGGTAACGTTAACGTTATTAAATGAAATTGATTAAACTATAAAAATGTCTGTTGTCTGTGTCAGCTTTCATAAAGAGCTTAAGAAAGCTACTCAACTACGGCTGGGTACGAGTCTTTCCATTTCGAAATCCGTTTAAATTGTGCTGTTATTTCCATTTATTGTATCTCACATTTTTAACTAATGCTAGACTGATGTAATGACTTTCTTGGGACCACTGTGTAACGTTAGATAGAATTAGGGAAGTTTAGTTAGGGGTTTCTGTATGTATGATACTGCAGATTGCATGTGCTATATTTATTTGTAGTATTTATTTAGACAATATGTTAGTACAAACATAAGTTTACTATTTGCTTAGTGTTAAGGCCCCTAAATACAAGGTTCAGATAGCTTACCAGGGTGTCCCTTTTCAGAAAGCTGCATTATTTCTTATGATACCTAAAAAAATATATATATATATTATATTTTCATATAATATATGTTCTGTGTGTGTATCGTGAGGGGGGCTAAAACATTCATTTCATTTCATTTAAGTGACAAATAAATGGACTCTGAAGTGTCCCTCTTAAATTGTTACTCTAGCAAGCAGGTTGGTGCACATAAGATAAGACGAAATAAGATATACCTTTTTGTAAATCCCTTTTAGGAGATATTCAGGTTGACACAGCAGCACAGAGGAATGTAAAAGAACAGATTCAATAAAAGAATCAGTAACATTCTTCATAGATGTATAAATATATACTCACTGTATACAATCAATATACGATAACAATAATTTACAAACAGATAAAGATTGTTAATAATTGTTATATAGAAGTTATGCATCAAAGTCCTGCAAATAAAGTTTGATATTGTTGTCTTGCAGGATGCTGCATTTAAACATGTTTCAGCTGATACAAACTGGACTGCAAAAGGTGATGACCTATTGAGGACGTCAAAATAAGCAAATTACACCATTGTGCATTGATTAAACATTATTATTGACGTCTGCTGGACATAACCATGTCGGACATTACGATCAACTTGTGCTCTTCTGATAACACAGCACAGAGGAGAACACCAGCAGGAAACCGAAAGAGGAAAAACATCTGGCATCGTAGGAAGATGCAGTATTTAGAGCGCAAGGGCTACATGGAAGGTAAACATAACTACAACCACAGAATGGGACAGTACAGACATGACCAAGGCCCACCACGCCCAAACGGAGCAGCCGCACAGCGCCCGTCACTTCCCACTTCCACACACAACAAAAATATACCTCATCCGAGCAGCACAGCCGGCGCCTCACACTGTAGCTCCAAGCCTTCAACATCCACACACAGCATGCCTTCCTTTACTGCCACTGTGGACAGAATAGGCCACCAAGAAAAGCCAAAGGGACCAGTGAACAGAGAGTCAACAGCCGCCACACCCTCAGTATCAAGCAACCGTAAACCCACAGCCAAACAGACATCAACAGGAATCCCCACAAAGTACCTCGCTATCGACTGTGAGATGGTGGGAACGGGACCAAAGGGGAGCATCAGCCAGCTTGCACGCTGCAGTATAGTGTCCTATGAAGGGGACGTGGTTTACGACAAATTCATCAACCCCGCCATGCCTGTTACTGACTACCGCACCCGATGGAGCGGCATCCGGCGCAGTGACCTCACCAATGCCACGCCGTATGCTGTGGCCAGGAAGGAGGTAAGGCAGTCATCACCAACAGGTAATGGTTTGATTGTAAAAGTGTTTTTTAGCACTTTTCCTCTGCAGAAACATACATGTAACACATATTTCTCTTGGTGCTGTTGTTTCTTGCTTTGTCCTTCTCTGTTTAACTTTGCATCTAGATTTTTGTGGGACAAACTTCATGTCTTATCTGGCTACACAGGGATAGGCTTGCATGCTAATATTTCATGTCAAATCAGATCAGTTTTTCAGCGCACTGCCAAAAATATTAGGTTCCTCATTAAATGCAGCTACAGTGGACTAGTCTGGAAAACTTGCAGAGTAAAAGTGAGATTATTGTTCATTTGTGTTTGGCTAATTGTCATCTTTAAGAATATGTCCATCTGTCACAGTCCAATAATAGTTGTAAGTCTTTAATAACATCAGGTGAACTCCTTAACACATTTACACTCAACACTAAGCATTCATGGTCTGGTAATTTCATTTCAAAATTAGCCATTGGCAGTTTGTACTGTCAGCTAAAAAAAGGTCAGTGAGTAAAAGTCTTCTCTGTTGGCAGATACTGAAGCTGCTCATGGGAAAGGTGGTGATCGGCCACGCCATCCACAATGACTTCAAGGTCCTCAGTTACTCTCACCCTGGAGTCTTGACCAGAGACACGTCTCGAATCCCTCTGCTCAACCTGAAGGCCGGCTTTGCCGTTAACGACTGTGCCTCACTGAAGAGACTCACAAAGGCCATCTTCAACCGTGACATCCAGGTAGGGGGAGTTCTGCAGTACAAATGTCCCTAAGCTATAAGAACACTTTTTTTTTACTCTACAGCATTTGGTTTGAGCGTTATCATTCCACCCAATCGTCGCAGCAGATTTCACGCAGTCATGGAAACAAATTAAAGTCACCCAATGTAGACTGTAACATCTTTCATATGTGGACCGCGTTACCCAAAATGTGATGGCAATTAAACATGTCTGAATAAGTATCCAAGTCACTTTTATGTAAAAGTTTCAACAGCAGTTTGACAAGTTCTGACTAAACAACAACCTGTTTTTTTAAATTTCATATAACTCACTTGTTTAAATTATATTAAGGCTTAAAGTTGCGTATAATTAAGGCGTGGGGACTTTGAGTGACAGGTGGATGCCGTCTCAGGTGGCTAGTCACAGCAGCCAGGCTTCATTCAGCCTGCCTCAGCTCCACTGAAGCTCCACCCTTTTGCCCATTTTTGAATTAGTCGAGAGTAGGCGAGTGAGGCCTGAGCTGCCACACTGAGCTTCGCAGTCACTCTTCAGAAACCTACGGTGATGTCACTGAGACTACGTCCATGTTTTACATGCAGTCTATGGTTTGGACTTAGTAAAAGTCAGAATTGAATGGTGCTACTGAAGTCAACAGAAGCACAACATTTAAGTTATGAAGATCACAGTAATATATTTATTACTTAATAATCCTCACCTGTACACAAAGAAAATTAAGTTTAGTGAGCCAGTTTTAAGTTGGTGTGGAGATTCTTATCATATCAGCCTTTAAAACCTTTTTTTCCCCCTGCGTTGTGGCAATAAATGGAAAAAAGTGTGACCCCATAATAATCAGATCTGCACTCATTCAAGCTCTGCACAGGCGACAGCATGTGTCCCACCTTAAAGTCTTGTATGCTGTCTGCACTGTCGGATAAGTTAGGCAGCAATATATAATAATAATAATAATAAATAATAATATATAATATTTGCTATTCCAGAAATTCATGAGTATATTTATTAACATATATACACTGTGAGAAGGGGGGGAAGCTTCCTGTGGCCATTAATTAAGCAATCAGCAGCAAAAAGTTATAAAAGCCATCGCTGATGCAGCTTGGGAGAAACCCACACAATCCATTGCAGCACTTTCCTTGAAGTTCTTGTCATGAATAAAGCAATAATGAATGTTAAATAATGGACACCTCTGTCTGAATTACTAGAGAGATGAAGCCTGCATTGTTACGTGTTCTATGTCTGAAAAGGGCTTTTTGTTAGTACGAATTTTTGTGGGGGAGGGGAGGGAGAAAAAATCGATTCTTGGATGCATCACGATGCGGACGTGAAAGATTCTGACCCGATTAACAAATGTCAAAAAATCGATTATTTAAATGTTAATTTATAACGTAATGTTGACGGAAGTGCAGCGCCTGGACCGTCTGTGGCGTGCACATAACAGTGAGAACAGTGTTCCCCTGTATTTGGCACACCACAACTTCCCTACTTAAATGTCACACAATCATTAATATCAATGAGCAAGTGACGCTCAACGCTTGGCAGCTCTCTGTGTATCCTGTGTGTGTGGACGAGCGAATGAGAGCGAGCGAGCGGCAGAACATGATGGAGAAAAATTTTAGCAGTAAGCTTCTGTCTGAACGTGCAGTGTAGGTCAGTGTGTCCGTTAATAAAAGTCTGTAGTTTCCCCAACTGCTAGAAAAGTGAAGGCTGTTGGCGCTAGCTAACGTCTCCCCGTACAGCACGTTTTATGGCTGTTAAGTAACGTTAGCTAAATTAGTAACGAAGTAATATTAATTATCTCAGCTGTATGTCATTGCTAACTTACCTGATGTTACTTATCAAGGGTTGAGAACATCAGGTACGAGCTCAGACTTCTGCTCTGCTGTGTACGGGACAGCTCTGTCCCGTACACATCCTGATAATTATATTTCAGTTTTCAGAGGAGTCCGACAAGTGGCTGTTGTAGAAATGGAGCTGAGTTTAATGAAGTAAATTAGGGATGCAAACTAGTCCTTTGAAGCTAATTAGGATTTTAATGCGCAAATAATGGTTAGTAATTATCCAGAGATCCTGCATAGAGAAAAATGATGCATCAAGATGCATCGATAATCGTTTCATAATCACATCGCAGCCCTCTGAATCGGAATCGAATCGTGAGGTGTCCAGAGATGCCCACCCCTACCACAAAAATGATATTTGTTTTGTACTACCGTGTCCGTTTGCCCAGCACAAATATTAACTACACCAAACATTAGGTTTGAAGTTTTCCTGGAGACAGAACAAACAAATCCACTTCAGTCATTAAAGGATTCAGCACTCAGTGACAGATATAAACTGCCGCTTAAATGAGCCCTGTAGAGTTGTGAGAATGTTTTAGCTGAAGTGTTAATGTCATCATGATTTAAAAATGTCTCCAAAGTGATGTCAAACTCGTCCTCTCTTATGTCCTCAGACCGGGAGGAAGGGACACTCTTCTGTGGAGGATGCCAGGGCCACGATGGAGCTTTATAAAGTGGTGGAGGAGGAGTGGGAGAGGAATCTGGCCACCAAAGCACAGGCCACTTAGTGCCAGATTTGAAGAAGCAACATGGAAATAAACTTTTAAGTTGACATTTGGTGTGGCAGGTATGTGGTTTGGATCGACTGACTCCCTACCTTGTTACTGGTAACTTCTACTGTCCTGTCGACGTGTGAATGAAGATACCAGGAAACTGTTCCCGCTCATTCAGTGTACTGGATAAACTGCGACCAGCTGCCTGAAATTCAAAACTGTTATGTTATCATGGGAGAAGAATATAATAACTGTTGGGTCAGCCCTTCAGTTTCATTCTTTCTCAGGGTTTGCATTGTGTTTAAAAGGTGCTCCTGCCACTAGGGGGCAGTCATGTAATTATTCAAGCAACAGCTGTACCTTTATTGAAACTGTGCTTAAGTGATGTACAAAGAACTTGTGTTAAGGTGAAGTGTTCAACTCAGTCATGCTGTGGTGTATATTCCTCCTCTCGCCAGTTGAGCATGGTGATAGACATTTTAAGTCTGACCATTGAGCTCTGTCACCCATCAGTTTAAAGTTTTTATATTATTAATTATTTTTAGGTACAAAATTGAGACAAAATACTCTCCTGTTGTTCATCTTCGATCAACCAATCATGTTCTTCAGGTAAAAGGAAGCCGGGGTTTTAGAAATAATGAGTTCCTGCATGTGGCTTTTATGGATAAGAATTTTTTCAGACTAACCAGCAGCCTTACAGTTGAAGTATTATATAATTTCCACACACATGTTTTGAAATGTGACTAAAATACTTAATTATATTTTATGTAAAAGGATGGACCGTTGCCAAAAAACTAAACAAAACATGATTATATGAACTCATAAAACCCACAGGATCTAGTTTACGAGAGCAGGAGACCTAAATTTCAAATCAACAATTATTGGAAAAATATTTAAACACCTGATTTCCACTCAAATTTACCTGATAATGGAGGGCCAAACCCCCGAATCCCAGAAAATGTAGGACATGTCCTCAGTGGTAGCTACAGCACTCACGTTCTTCTAATCTCCTTGTACATACTGTCTTCATAAAACTACTTGTTGCAGCAGCTGCCACAACCAATGTCCAGTTATTTATCTGATCTTTTTCCTGTCAGGTTTTTGGAATAGAGAAGTGTTTACGTCCATACAGTTCATACAGCTTTCTATGCAATACGAGTAGAGTTCAGTTATCTGCTGTTGATTCAGCTCAGTACTTTAACTTTAATAAATCATCATCTCATCATTCTGAGATATCAAAATAATTAAAGAGGTGGTATTCTGCTCATTTTCAGGTTTAAAATCCTATTTAGGGGTTGTACCAGAACAGGTTTACATGGTTTAATATTCAAAAAACACCATATTTTTGTCATACTGCACATTGCTGCAGCTCCTCTTTTCACCCTGTGTTGAAGGCTTCGTTTTAGCTATGGAGTGATACATCTTGTCTCTAAATGAGCTTTGTTGGGAGTTGCACATGCTCAGTTCCTAGTTAAGGACTACTAGCCAGTTAGAAGGAGAGAAGGGCGGGCCCTGAAAAGCCGGTAAAAAGCTTCGGTTCAGCTGTACATGTTCCCCTTACCAGCTTGGCAACATGGACTGGAGCGAGAGTTTCAGAGTGGTGAGACGCTGGGCGAGCGTTATGACGTGCATTTTATTGTGTCGTCACAGGGATGAAAGGGAAGTAAAGGCTGGAAAAACTAGCTGTTTTCAGGCAGCTCAGAGCAGAGTTTGCTGTGGGAGATGGGAACTCCCTTTGGGCTGGACTTTGGGCTTTTTCACTTTGCAAACCTATTAGCATCCATCCATCGTCAACCATTTATCCTGCGTACAGGGTCACGGGGGGGCTGGAGCCAATTCCAGCTGACCTCGGGCAAAAGGCGGGGTACACCCTGGACAGGTCACCAGTCCATCGCAGGGCCAAAACCTATTACATGCACAAAAATATATATAACTCAATAAAGGAGAGGGGGAAAAGCTAAAAAGCATAACACCACCTCTTTAATGAAGTTGACATCACTGAGATAACTTTCAGCATGTGCTGTCCTTTAGACTACATTTTACACTGAGTGCTTAAGTTCACAATAACTGTAAGCATTTAACTTTTAACTTTGCAACTTAATTAAGGTCCTGATCACGTTTGATCATCATGTCACATTGGCTTAGAGCGAGACAATACACTAAGTTTATTATACTCAGAGGCGTTTCTCATACTTTGTCCTCCCCATTTATATCAGTGATGGCCGACATAATATTAGAAACACCTGTCAGTAAAACAGTCAGCAGCACCACAAACCCCAGCCTCAAATATGACCATCAACACCTCTCTAATATAGTTTCAACACAAAAATTATAACCTTAATGGATTTATTGCACTTTGGTTTGAAGTTTAAATTTGTGTTTTGTTTTTGTTAAAGGCTGGATATTGTTGCAACAAATCTGAATGTCTCAGCTGAGTGAAATGAACAGTGAATACTTTTGTTTGGTCGTCATCTTATACCACATTAGTAAAGACCCTTTTTTTTGTTCTTGAAAATGATGTGTGCAAATTTCTTTAAGGGGATGGATGTTGCATTTATCATCAGAGTACCCAAAAAATAGATTTAAGTGCCTACATCAGCATTGATATTGCTATAATAAATTTAGATGGCTGACTAAAATTTTGAGTATGAAAATCTTCCAAGTAGCAGTGTCTAACTAACCTCAATACCTTTTTTTTGTACTACCTGAAATGTGTCTGGAGAAACTGTACTGAAATCTGACATTGAATTTCTTTACTTTCATAAATCGGTTTAAATCAGCCAGTTCTAGACTATTTTGTTTAGACAATGTTCTTGCACAGCTCGTTGCATTTAACATTTGAGAAGTTATGCTTCTGTAGAAACAAAAGTCTAGCTATGGTGGCTCTGTGCGGCTGAGCTAACTGCTAACATGCTGATGAGTTACAATGTTTTAACACGTTAGCATGCTAACATTAGCACTAAAGTCAAAGAACAGCTGAGGCCGAAGGTCATTAAGATAAGTGAAACCTTCGACATGAGTAAAGGTCAGAGGATCACTGAAGTCTTTAGGCCACATCCCCAGATGATTATGAATTTCTACAAAATTTCATCCAAACTTGATCGTTAAGATATTTCAGTCAGGATCAAAGTGTTGGACCGATTGTCATCCCTAGAGTCACGTTATTAGCGTGGCTAAAAAAAATTAGGCACTAGTATTGCTTCATTTTAAACAACACCTAACAGCTGTACTTCCACAGTCTCACACTGCTCCACTTCCTGTGTCCTCTGGCAAGTGTTTGTCCTTAAAGGTGAGCGATCAGCACGATTTCCCTGCTGTGAATTCAACACCAGCTCATTAATTATACAGCATGCCATCCTTCCTAAAAAAGCCACACCAGACACAACTGCTGGCACAGAGAATTAAAAAGGGAAGAGACAGACCAAGGCTCAGTGGCTAGACTTTAAAGAAAATGTTGAGAGTTGTCTGTGAGATTTAAAGTGCATCTGTGCAGGCTTGATCTTTGTTAGAAAATTCAACAATATCCTGCCAGAGTCTCTGTAATGGAGCAAGTGAAAGGTGTCCTGAGGTAAAGACAAGTCCTGTGTCTGTTCTTTGTCTGCTGACCAAACAGGCAGCTGAAAACCCCCACAGTATCACCACAGAGGACGCCAAAGCATCTGATGGTCACAGTCTTAAGTAGCTGGCAAAGGAGGCAGTGGAATCTCCTGTGCTGGAAATTCTTTAGCTGTGAACTCCACAGTGTTTTAGCTACTCAATGGGAGACACAGTAGAAATTTGGAACCACAGTCGAAAGTAGAGTCTACTTAAGATAATTAAAAGCCATAGTTAACATGGAAAGGCCAAGTTAATAAAGGTTTTGAATCTACTGAATGTGCAGCTTATCTTGCCTATTGATAGACTGCTGTGGTCTGAGCGTTGAATGCAGTAGAAAAAAAGACATTACAAAAGAACATTTTCTCACTAATGAAACATCCCAAAAGCATTTTCCCCATAGACCACCATCAGGACAGGACACCTCCAGCTGCAGCTGCAGACGAAGTCAGTTATTAATCTTTGTTATGTATATAGAATGTTTTATATTTTGTAAAGCTTTCTCAGATCCTAGAAAATCTATTTTTATGTGCATGATGTTAATGTGCCAACAGGCTGGTGAGCATGTGCAGTGAATGGCACAACGTGGAAACAAACCCAGACACTCAAACTCCACTGTCTTTCACACCTCTGCACACTTGACTAATTTCTGATTAAAGTGGACCTGACTGTCAGACACAAACCTCCCAATTCAGCCTTCAGAAAGGGGGTTCGCTTGCTGTTAGACGATCAGACAGACTTCATTTGAAGCAACTAAGGCCTTTAGGCATCATGTGAAGCCCCTCAGTTACAAGTAACCTTGGACTTCTTTATCTTTTGAGTTACAGACAGTATTGCAAAGCAACATGTGATTTAATCCATTCCCTAGTCTAGATTATCCCTCCTAAATCTCCTTGTGCATGGGCAGTAATGTGAATAATTCGATTTTATGCCCTGTTATTAGCTCAATAAGTAAAAGCCAGAGCTTTAAAATAAAAAGAGGCTTTGGATTTTCCTCCTGTGGGTGTGTTAAATATGTTAAAAACAAGATTTTCTCCTTCACATTTGAGGCTGAATAAGAGATGAATATGAGAAACATATTTCAGCTCGCTGATCCTTTTTGTAATTTAGATTTTTGTTAAATGTGCTTCCATATTATTGATTGAAATACTATGCTCAACATTTTAAATTAAAGGAGATTAAGTGTTCACCTGCTGTATTAATAAGTCCTTGAAATACATGAAAGAGCACCGTCGGTCTCATTAGGCAATGCAGTATGGATTTCATGGATTTATTACCCCCTGGGTCAAGTTATTGGGCAGTAGACTGCAGATTACCCTTTCCGCACACACGTCACACACCACAGATATTAGTCATGGCCCAGCATCAACCACATGTGCATAATTCGTTTTTTATTACTCACTGCCAAGCCATCAGGAATTTGTCCATTTTGCACATTGCCAGTTAACCTTACACATACAGTAAATCCACTGACTCAAGAGGTAGAAAGGTCGTCCACTAATCAGAAGGCCGGTGGTTCGATCCCCAGCTCCTCAAGTCCGCATGTCAAATTGTCCTTGGGCAAGATACTGAACCCCAAATTGCTCCTGAAGGCTGTGCCAGTGCAGTTGTGCAGGCACCTGCGTGAATGTGCGTGAATGGGGTTGTATGGTAATGTGCTTTGGGAAGATTAGAAAGGCTCTCTGTAAGTACAGTCCATTTACCCCGGCAGGATCAGCAAATGTGGAAGCATAAATGTATGAAAGCTGCCGAGGAGGAAATAGAAGTGTTTGGAACAAATAAAGTAGTCTTTCTGTCTTTCCGCAAGTTAGCTTGGACAGAAGTTTCAAACTGGATTAACTAAAACATGTTTAAATATTTATTTTCCACCCGCAATCTGACTTAATGCTGTTCTCAATTGCAGCCCCACTATAAAGGATTGAAATGGCTCATAGATTAACTTATTTAAAGGTCCACTAATCAATATTTTATACGTGTAATGTGAATGGGGTTGCTTGCATAGTGATACACTCTGAGGTTATTGGGTCTTCAGGCAGGGTTGTGACTTCAGTAACCTGCTGATGTTGGTTTGCACATGGACATTGTTGGAAAACCACTGACTTTGCAGCTTGTGATGATTTTAGGAAGGCCCATGAAAATTATTTTTTTGTTACTGTTCTTGTCAACTTCCATTTCCTTCCTAAGATGCTGAAATGCAGAAAACAAAATCGCATTATAACTATTTTGAAAACGGAACAAGATGGCATCCATTTTCATTGTCAGTCACCCTGCAACTCAGTCACAGCGTCATCACCCACTCTGCAGCTCTTTAGCTTTCAGCCTCTTTTAGAGCAATGTTTTGCTTTTGCGGCGCATTTACCATTTTGGATCAGTCCCACAGCTCTTATCAAAGCTTGGATGGACAGAGTACACGACCTGCTCAGCAGCAAACAGCAGACAGACACATTTAGAGACTAGCTGGTGAAGAAAGAGGAAAATTTAACAGCTTAAGAGCAAGATTCTTCCTGCAGGAGAGACCTGTGGAAGGGCACTGCATTCATTGAAGGAAAAATTCATTTACCTTATCTCCTAATTCATTATTTATTAGGTTTGAAATCCACGGACTGCCAAATCAAGGTAGCTGTATGTACTGATGTTGTAGCTTAGGTTGTCATGGTAGTTGGGTCAGTTAAGAAGATGCATGTAGGGTTTTTTCTAAACCTTAACAGCCATGTTTCAATGTTAAATGTGTTAGGGAGCCATACACTGAAACTCAGATATGTATTTGCAAATCGCCACTATGTCATCTGGCATGAGTCGCTGACCTCAGTCAGTGTCTAAAGCATCAAATAAAGGAGGAAATAAAACGAAGTCAGGTAACCACAAATACCTTGTTATTATAAGACAATATTAAATCAAGTTGTTGTTTACGTTTTTCAAGTGGACAGAAAGGAAGGGCAAATAAAAGCTGCTTTGTGTCTTCTGGGTTTGTAAGTTTGCTTTTAGGAGCCCTTAATCTGTGAGGTCATGGGGCTCTTCTGCCCCCTAGTGGCCATAAAAAAGCCAGCGTTTGCAGCTTTAGTAGGGATTTATTTTTTGGACTAAAAGGGCATTTCAAGGCCAACGCACATAACACTCCTCATTATATCAAATTATACCAATTTGAAGGACTCAGCAAACCTTTAGAGTGAAGCCCAATATTCTCTTCATTAACAGAAAAGTGAAAAATAATTGATAGCCCTTATTCCTCATTTGTTCACCTCTCAGTCTGTCCTTCAACAGCGATTATGATTTGCCAGACAGGAGGAGGAGGAAGAGGAGGGGGAGGTGTTGGTCTTTTAACACAGCCTTCATCCCGTTTTCTCCTCTCTTCACCTCCTCTCCTCGTGGCCGTCGTCTCTGAGGCTGCTGAAGGACTTCAGGTCGGGAAAACAGACACGAAGATCGACCTGCACCTGTCCGGACGCCCCGGGGAGACACGAACAACTTCTGAAGGTCTAGACGGACAGCTGAGCCTGATTAAAATGAAGTAAGTCCATTTAATCCGTTTCACAGAATTAGACAAAACCTGACTGTTAAATTACACTTTTTTTTTTTAGTTCTTGGAGTTCTTGTTATTCACCTATTTTCACCTTCAGTTTGTCTTTATCCTTTATTATGCATTTAGTTCTTACTCGTTCTGGATCGTTAGTCCCAATTTAATAATCATAAAGGAAAAGAAAGGCGCGATTAGGGTGAAAGCATCAGTTGTCACCTGCTGCAGCATCACCGTATATTTCCACAGGGATTCTCCAGTGTTTGTAATACCACGTGCAGTGGTGAGGAAGTCAGTAAAAGTATCAATACCAGAATGTAAAAATACTTCAACACAAATAAAAAATCTTATGAAGGTATCAGCAAACTGTACATAAAGTATCAAAACAGTTTTCTACTGTTGGCTAGGTTAAGATATAACTGTGTTTTATATTTTTTCATTAAAAGTAGTCCTATCATAGTCCTACCTTTGTCAATATTTTGTATATAATGTCTTAATCTGCACAGTAAGCCTTCCTGCAGTATCTATATGTCTCAAAGACATGTAAAAAAAGTACAATATTTCCCACTACTTTAGTTACTTTCCACCACTGCATACATAGAACTACAGGTCTGAAAACGTATTCTGGGACTATCACAATGAAAATTCAATTTGAGTAACTTCAGATTGTCTCTAGGAAGATTTTGCTAAAGTATAGGCCGAATCAGGTCATCATGAAATATATTATTAATAAAAGCATTAAGCCTTTCATAGATTAGCTTATTTAAACTAACTTTGATCAACAGTATTAGTTTACAAAAGTACATAAAAACCAAATAACACATAGCCTTACAGCTCATTTCTTGCCATAAACATTGTCCCAATAGGAATATTATGGGGAGATATTTTTCTGAAACATCTGCGGAGGATCCTAAAGTGGTCACTTTGCTGTTTTGAATTAAATAGGGGAGTGTGCATCCATAAATATTAAAAATGGATATTCAACTTTAATGTCAGGCCAATAAATCTGGAGTTAAGTTTATCACAATTTTCACATATACAGTACTTATTAATACCTGTGAACAGATGAAAAGGTATGAAATCTTCCCCTGTAACATTTGCTGAGTTTTGAGAAATTAGGACAACTTTATTTGTAAAGCACTTTAAAGAAGTGGGCAGTTCAAAGTGATTTACATGAGGCCATAATCTATATTTTCTAGGCTTCGCTGGGCTTTATAGTGAATTTCTGCTCCTTGTTTAGCTGTCTAGCCCAAAAGTTGGTTCCATCTGTGTGCAGCATCGTAGCTAAAAGCAGCTTCAGCCTGTTTGGTTCTGACTCGCTCCATCAGCTAAAGATCTAATAAACCTGCTGGGTTTATGTTCTTCAAGCTGATCAGAAATGTGTTTTGGCCCAATGTTATTTGTTGTAAATATTTAAAAACAGAAGTCATTGGTTCACTTCTTTTGGCTCCAGCAACTCTGGGGCAGCGTTCTGAATGAGCTGAAGTTTTTGGGAAGACCAGACAAGAGACAATTATAACAGTCCACCCTGCTGGAGAGGAGGGCACGATGAGTTTTTCTAAATGTTGTCAGGAACCACTAATTCTTGCTAATTGTTTCAGATGATAAAATACTGGTTTAGTGTTTGCCTTGATGTGGCTGCGGATGCTCAGATTGGAGTTTATTAAAATGGCAAAATTTCTAAATTGGCCTTTGTCTTTACAGGAATCAAGCTGAGCAATAACACTGAGTCCTTCCTCCTTGTTGCTAAATAAGATTATTTATTTATCTTATATAGTAGAAATAATAAAAGGACTGTTCCTGTTACACATGTAAAGAGGGAAGTTTTTCAGGCAATGTATTTTAGTTTTAAACTCTAATTAGTTTGTCTATTACCACAGAAGGTGTAGTTTGTAGCTTCCCGCAGCACCTCGGAAATGTGACTCACACTAAATAATGAATGCAGACCAGTGCTGTGTTTGCTGTTGTTTTTTGTCTGAGGTATAAGCCCCTTAAAACTCAGCAATTCTGCCTAATCAGCTTGTGGCACAGACTACAACACACACACATACACACACACATACAAACACATATACATGCACAAGTCTATAACCAGAGTCTTGTAGCTTATGGCTTTTGTCACTTCTTTTAAGGTTTTGCCCTCCGGCACACAGAGTCAGCAGCTAACAGCTAATAAGACATGGCTGCTGCTTGAGCCTGACTGGTGAATCGTTTCAAATCGTTCCTGTGAACTTAATGTCTCTCTCAGCACTCAGTCATGCTGTACGGAGTCCCTTTCTTCCTCTCTGCAACTTCTTTTCTCTCAGAGGTCTCCGTTGCTTCCAGCCCTCCCCGGCTGCTCCTTGCTTCCTGTCAGATTGTGTCTGTCAGGGGGGTTCGGGTTGCCCCTGGAGATGGGCAGAACAAGTCATTCGAGGTGGCGTGATGTGGGACTGGTGGGCCGGCGTGATGGAGGAGCTGCCGAGGGGCAAAAGGGCAGCGGTGGTGGAAAGCAGAGGGGTACGGTGCAGGGGAAGTGGTGGCGTCAGGTTGATCCAACGATGGCTTAGCAAGAGGTTTTACACCCAATTCTGAAACCTGAAAGACAGAAGCAAAGAGAGGCTTTGTGTATGTTTGTGTGAAAGACTGAGAGTCTAGATAGTATAGGTCACCAGGTTTCTCTACATTCATTAATTTTGAATCTCATTTTGAATCTGTTTATCAAATCTGAGTCCTTTTTGAATTCCACATTGAAACTACTCAGTTTTCAACATTTGTAAGTAACTAAAGTTATAACTAAAGACCTGTTGTGAAGTAGTCGGTTCAAAAAAAGGTACATTTCCTATCATCATTGTGGCAGAATGCATGGAAGTAAGCCAGGAAACTAAGTTTTATTTCTTCAAACTCAAAGGTTGCATTTATCAACATATAATCGGGTGAGAAAAGGCACACATAGGTTGTTCAGTCAGAACTGCTGCCCCATGTGAAAGTCAAAGAGTGAGTGAAATGGAGTGCAGTCCTTAAATTAAGTGTGAGCAGGTAAACTCAATCAGGTAAATGAGGAGGGATGAAAGGTGAAAGCAAGAGCCAATCAGTGATGAGAAGAGAAAGGCAAGAAAGTGAGGTAAAAGAAGTGAATAAAAATAGAAATAAATAGGAGATCTTTATTACACCTGGAATCACCTTGATTTATCCATAAAGGCAAGAGCATTTTTGAGTGATGGTCCAATTAACGTTCACAATCTCTAGAACATATATGTATTAGCAACGGCCATTTCTTATTTTGGCAGTTTATTTAAGGAATTAACGTTAATGAGCTGGGAGTAATCTGCTGTTGGCAATGTTTGTCATTTAAACCAGCGATAACAAAGGTGGGTGCCAGCTAGAAATGAGAAGCCGGTTTGCCGATTGATTCTATATCAGGGGAAATGTTTGAAATGCACAATCTTGTTTTGAGGTATTGGTTCACTACTCATCAGAGTTTATGTGCTGCAGTTGGTATCAGGAGAGAAAATGTCAGATCTGTGCATCCCAACGTGTAACCACAACCTTTAAGCATATTATGAGGCCACATTCAGACTGAGCGCTGACACACTCCTTTGACGCAAACCCTGTGTTGTCTGGCAGGAAAGTTGTACTGGGCTCGACTTTTATTGCAATGCTACGTGACATGTTATGCCATGTTATGTGGACAAAACTAAAACTACACATCAAAAACATGTTTCTGACATTTTATATATTATACCCCAGGCATATGTTCAACAGTTTTTCTGATAAGTTTGGTTTTAATTAGTTATTAGATGCTACAAAAAGGAGGTTTCACATCATGATTGACAGCTAAGCCCTGCTTGCGACTGGGTCTATTGGCAGGACCAAGGGCGTCACTTTGTGTTGAAAAGTGGTGGGGACACAAGGGCACAGGAGACGTGACGATGCACAATAATGGGGTCACAAGAGCAAGATTTTGAGCATTAAACACTTAATATCCTGTATTCTGGAGACATTTTCTGCAGCAATTTATGGTGGAAATTTCTTTATTTATATATAGGGAAACAAAATTCAGGCGGCAGGTGACAATTCAAAATATAAAGTATAATGGAATATAATTCATCAATCAGTAGCTTGTTTTTTCAGCTTAAGTTAGATTTCTGGGCAATGCTGGACATCTCTCTTCAGTATTTACATTGCATTCCATGTTTCTTACTGTGCAAATAAACCCTTCTCAAAGCATTTTCATTTTTTAGTTAACGTTTCACGTTGCGAGCTATTTTTAATTATGCTTTTAAAAAGTGATGGGGACAAAATTGGCCATTTCAAAAGTGGGGACATGTCCCCAGTGGAACACTATCACTACTGGGATATTTTGGCTTTTGGCCCCCACCAACTTGCTCGTGCATTGTTTTAACCTAGGACTCAATCCCCGACAAATCTGCAGCAACTGTGTGATGCTATCATGTCAATATGGACCAAAGTCTCTGAGCATTGTTCCCAACACCTTGTTGGAAGTATGCAACAAAGAATTAAGGCAGTTCTAAAGGCAAAGTGGGGTCCAACTAGGCACCAGGGAGGTGTACCTAAAAACGTGTCCATGTGTTATCACATGCCAGAGGTTTCCTTCTTTATCGTGTCAAAAAAGCAAGTAAGTGAACATTGAGTCAAGAATGAAATCTGACACTCAACTTGATTGATATATATATATACATATAAACTTTTAAGTATGGACAGACACAGAACATTCACACACACGTTACATTAGTTTCACATTAAGTAAAGCAAATACAGGAGGAACTGCAAATACTTGTTGTTTAAGTTTAGACGCCTAAAACTACAACAAAAGTAGCATTAAATCACTCATGAAGGTGGAAAGGTCTGTTCTGTGGTTCAGGTGTGAGGACGTGTTGGGCCGTATGCTGAAATGTATGTTTGCCACACCGGACTACATATAGGAGCAGCAGCCCTCTCATTACACACTGGGTAAAGTGACAAATGGGCCAAATTCTCACAAAGCTGGTGCA